GGTCAAGCTCAGTCAAAATTTTTGATTTATCAGTATGTGAAATTTTTTTTACTTCGCCAAAATAAGGAAAAAGACATTTTCGTTTTACCGATAAATTCCTGATTTTAATGCTGACATCATGAGAACTTAATTCGTTTATTTTCGGTACTTCAGCTGCTTCGTTCTGTAATGAAGAAAAATCTAGTTTAGAAAAAAAATGAACAAATGAAGTTCGTATTTTCTCGGTAACACGCGTTTTTACCGAACTATGTAGATTTTCAAGCCATAACAATTTAAAACGAGTATCAAACAATGGTGCAATAAGAAATATTGGATCAGAAAAACGTTCTGACATAGAATAACATCCAAAAGGCACATCATAATCAAAATGACGAAGAAGTCCACTAAATCTAGCTTTAATAGACGATATAAGAGTTTCACATAAAGAAGTAAGAACTAAAGAAGAAGAGTTTAATTCACGTTCAAGATCAAAAAGGATGCCAAGAATTGTTGGCGCAGCGAGACTTATCGTAACAAAATTTTCTCCCTGCGTGACCAAAGTTGCTTCATTAAATAGTTCAAATAAAGAAACGAATTCTTCTAAGATTTTTCTATCTTTCGTGTTAATAATAAGTTCATTTTTTTTTAAATCATTTAGTATTGAATTTAATGTTGAAGATGGAATATTAATAACTTTTTTCACTGTTTGATATTGACTATTCCATCGAGTTCGATTTGCCCGTGGAATACTGTAATTTACTTTTGATAATCGTTCAGCAAACTCAGTGCTACAATGAGCGAGTTTAGCTAAACTTGCTACTTTTTTAAGGGATGATGATGCTAAAGTGCATGATTTAATTCCATCATTAACGACAAGCTGCAGACAATGGATAAAACACGGTAAACGTAAATATTCATCTGCATGAGTATCGTCAATACTTGTTTGATACACCGTATCGTCAACATCTTGTATTTGGAATTGTTTTTCTTTATCAACTAAATCATCATTTAATTCATCATTCGATTCTGATTCAGAATCAACTTCTTTTTCTTCTTCATCTTGTTGTAATTCATCAAAATAATCTTCAAATCCTGGTAAAATAATGTTGTCGAAAGCAGCTAAATTGTTACTGGCATTGTCAGTAATCAAACGCACAATTTTATCTTTTATATCATACAGTTGTATGATTCGATCGAATTCTGTAGCAAGTTTTTCACTTGTATGTTTACCTTCAAGTCTATCAAATGCTAATAAAAAAGATTTCAGTTCATCATTAATAATCGTATGTAATGTAACACCTAAATAAGATCTCATACGACGATCTGTCCAAACATCCAATGTAAGACTAACATAACTAGATTGATTACAAATTTCTTTTAATTTTAAAACACATTTTTTCTGTAAATTTGGCAAAAATGTACGAGTAAGATCACGTCTGTGAATAGGTTTGAACTTTGGGTCAACGTCAGTCATAAATTTCTTGAATGATGTATGATCAACAATAGACAATGGTAGTCCCATATTTATTATTAAATTCTTGATAATACTGTTAGTAAGTTGTTGTTGTCGAATGTTGTTAGAAGAATCTATGTACAAAAAACAATGTATTTGTCATATTTATTTAGTCAAATAATGACACAGAAATACATTAAAGGCGTAAACTATCTTAACTGCGTATGTATAAATATAATTTGTAACAAGAATTTCTTTCAGGATTTTTTCCTCTTAGTTAATCTAGATTCATTTATTATTTTTATGTACGATAAAAATGCGCTTACATTTTTCTCCATCAGGACTAAAAACATTGTTTATTTTCGGTTGGTTTCTATCTTTCACCGGTTGTCCTTGATTATTTTTCCATTCATCAAGTAATGCTCGATGCTTGGTTTTCAAATGCTTTAAAAAATTTGAAGTTGTCTTATAAGTATCAGTAATTAATGATGAGCAAGTTTTACATTTCGAAGACCAACGATTTTTTTCTAAATTTATATATAAATCCAAAAAAAAATGTTTGACTACGGCCGAACATTGTGCATCATCATTCATAACAATGATGGCGGATTCTGTACCATTGTTGGAGGTAGATGAATTCGTAGTCATATTAAATAAACAACAACAACAAGAGTGACAACAAATCTATAGTAAAAATAAAATAAAATACTAGATCAATAAGACATCAAGTAAAATACCTAATAATGAGAAGCAAAATTACCAGAAAACCAAGAAAAAGATTGACAATGATAAAACCACAATGATAATGATGAACAAAGCTTTCCTTAATATATAATTAATTCTTCCAACGACAGTTGTATCTAATTGAAAACGATGGTAGAAATTAGAAGCGCAGATTCAAAGATCTATAAGCAATATGATGAGGTAAACAATAGAATGTAGGTAGTTCAATACGATTTATTCTTATTTGTGTTTATGATTTCCGTTCTAAATATTAATGGATAACAGAAAGCGCCAGTAGTATATATATACATAGTAAATCATATTTAATCGTCATCGAATGCATTAAAAGGAGGAGAAAGAGAATCAAATATGGTTCTATTAAGTAACTATCTTGTAGCATTCGAATGAATTTTCATTTTCACATATATACAAAGAAGTTATGAATAGAAATTTATCTAATTTTTAGGAAAAAACAACTGATGCATTCGTAATAATTTATTGACAGAATATTTTACGAAAATTTCGAGTATTAATCCTTCGAGTACAAGTACGAGTACGAGTATCATCCCTTCGAGTACGAGTACGAGTACGAGTATCACTCCTTCGAGTACGAGTACGAGTACAAGTACCAATAAAACAGTACTCGAGTACGAGTACTTCGAGTATTTTGCCCAGCTCTGTCAGGAAGCTAATAAAGGATTATATGCTAATTTTAACTAAGTAAAATTTATCTTATATAATACAACTCTTCGAGCAATTCCTAAGCTAACCTGGGGACAGTGCCTATAGAATGATGCCACACTAATTTTTTCGCAGGCTTGTAACGTAGTGAGAGTACTTCTAGTTTCTACACATCAGCTTCCAAGGAGATCCATTTCTTGGGAGATAGCTTTTTCCGAAAAACTCAGTTTTTGAGAGGACGGTTCTGATCAAACGCAACAATGCTGGTAGCTGAAATTTTTAGGAACGGTGTATCTTTCAGTGCTCTTTCCAAAATGAAACTTTCAAATCCATATCTAATTCCAAACAAAAGATTTGAATTACGCAAGTTACCAAAAATGTTTCTTTTGTCATATATTGAGTAATTCATAAAATCCCAACAATTCAATATTTTAAAACGAAAATGTTTTGGTAGATAGCACTCACCGAGATATATGTCTCTGACGCTTTTTCAGCTCAATTAGTTGTTTCTAGATATCGTGAATGGTAGAAATTTTCGTATAATGCTCATAAAAAGTCAAATGATTAATATTTTTTTAAACGGTTTGTGTCAAAATTCTTAGAACTCTTTCCTTTACAACATATTTTTAATTGAACGCAATATGACGACCTCGATTGAACCGCTTCTGTGTGAATTCGTCGTTGTTTATGTGTACTGGCTCATAAATAGAAAAATTATGATTTCAACTTGATTTCCGAGATTGAAATCAGTTTGTTCCCCTTGACTTAACTTAAGTTCCCCTTGCGTATTTTCTATGACTCTACTATTTGGAGAGAGATTATTGAAAACAAGAAATTTATTTAGTTAGAAACCAATTAATCGATTGTGATAGACATCTTCTATAACACAAATCATTGATTGGATACAAGGATCAAAAACATTCTATTAACAGAAAATTAACATCACAGCAAAGTATGTCATGATCTCTGGCAATACATTACACAACAATGCTACGTAGGTAGAGTTATACTTTTAAAAAAAAGCAACTTATCAAATAATTTCAACTATAGTTAATTAAATACAGCCAATCACAATGCAAATTTTCAATCATTCATCAGACTGGTCCATCAATAATTCAAGTGTTATTGTTTTCTTTGCAATATGTCGATAAGCTACATAAGTAAAAATATTCTGATCCAATGATGGCAATGTATCAACAAACGCTTCAGCAAAATGAAAGCAAACAGTGACAACGGAAAAAGATGGTTGTCGAAATTTTATTTCGATATTGATTTTGTAATTCTTAAGGTTTCCTTCTTCGAGTGACTGTCAACTATTTACATATATATATATATATAAGTAAACAACGGATTCATCTTTATGATCGCTACTAATTTGTAATCATGTATCAGGATTTCAAATACAATCTTGAGCATGCCTACTATGTTTGTGATATATATATATACTTATTTATTTATTCAGTGGTAAAATACGACAAAAAACTGTATGATTTGGCGCTTCAAGTTTTCTCACTCGGAATATCAATAGATAAAGTGTTTTGGTTTCTTTAAAATGTTAATACTGACAATTGTCAAATGTGCTGGTTAGACTATCGTCGAATCCATGTTGATCGACTCCATCGCATCTGATGTTATTTCGAACAGAAGAGAAGCATTCAATTTCGCACATAGAAAATAGGAAAATGTCTTACCAATAGCATTTTCATTACTGATTATCACTAAAAAATATAAAATAATATCATTGATCAAAGGAATTCATAAGATTTTCAAGGTTTTCAATTATTTGGTCTTTGAGAAAGTGAAAGTTTCGTTGGAATCATGTTTAATAGTATAGCAGTTAGGAAATTAAATTAAAAGGAACAGCAACATATACTTGTATTCATGTGAAGAACTCACTTCTAACTAATGTTGTATCTCAAATAAAGAAATAGTACATATTTAGGTATTTAACTTAGAATCAAATTATTCCAGAATCATTTCCAACAAAAACTCGCTATTTTTTTTCATTAAATCAAGATATCATAATTAGATTCTTGTTAACAGTCTAATCGTGTTTGTGTTGGAAAAAAAACTTGTGTAAATTTAAACTCGAAGATAGTCATCGTAATGAAAAACAAGTTAGTTCTAAATACAACACAATTCATTTTACTTTAGATAGTTATCGTCATGGTTTATGGCGTGGTGGTTGTGGTGTCTGAGGTGGTAGTTGTTGTGTCTGAGGTGGTAGTTGTTGTGTCTGAGGTGGTGGTTGTGGTGTCTGAGGTGGTGGTTGTGGTGCCCGATGTTGTCGTTGTCGTGTCCGTTGTCGAAGTCGTAGTAGTAGTTGCTGTAGTAGTAGTAGTTGCTGTAGTAGTAGTAGTTGCTGTAGTAGTAGTAGTTGCTGTTGTAGTAGTAGTTGCTGTTGTAGTAGTAGTTGCTGTAGTAGTCGTCTTGGTCGTGGTACTAGTCGTCGAAGTCGTGGTGGTGGTGACTGTTGTTGTTGTTGTTTTGGTCGTTGTCGTAGCCGTTGTCGTAGTCGTTGTCGAAGTCGTCGTGGTGGTCGTTGTTGTTGTTGTTGTTGTTGATGTCGTTGATGTCGTCGTAGTTGTTGTGGCGGTGGTCTGGGTCGTCGTTGTCGTCGTAGTACTTGTTGTTGTCGTCGTAGTACTTGTTGTTGTCGCTAGAGAAATCGATATAGAATTAATTTATATATTGATGTCTTAGTTGATATCAAATATGCAACAATATAGGTAATAACGAATTATTGCTAGCATTATCAAAATATCTACAAATCTGTCATTGTGAGATAAAGACAAATAGCGACTGGTTTTTTTTTCATATCTAGAAAATCTTCTAACTATATCATAGTTTTGTTTTAGATATCATTTTTAGTCAGAACGTTGACTGATATTACCTTTTTTCGTAGTACTAATCATCACACCTAGCAATGCAATAAGTGCAACTAAGCAAACAGCAACTAATATACCACCAATGATTAATAACCATCTTTTATAATATTTCCACTTATTCACCTCAGTGCTCTGTTTCGTAGATGACTCCTGTATTGATGAATTTGACTTCTTTTCTCGTTGACTGAAATTTGATACTTGAGATCTTCGTCCCAATGGTGAATATGACATAGGATTAGGAGAATGATTTATATCAGCAAAGTGCAATGATGGAGATGAGGCTAAACTGTGACTCCTGTATGGAATAGGAGAAATACCCGATATTTGTGAAATATCTCTTGGAATTGTTTTCTTCGGAACATAGAATGCTTTAATGGGTCGTTTGCTTGGCATTTTCACGTGATCAACAAATAAAAATTTGTACAAAATATATCCGTATTTATACTTTTCTGTCTAACACTCATAAGATTTTATTTTCGTTTTTTTTAGTAAAATAAACAATAATAACAGAAATGTTGTTATACTGTGAAATGACGTTTTACCGACGACCTACAAGAGTTACTTCATGTGATGTACATTCTCGACAAGTAAAAAACAACAAGTATTCTATTGAATACATACTTAAACGAGAAAAATATCTTCAGTATGTTTGTATGTAAGTGTTCTATAAGCAAAAGTCGGTATTTATCAACTTCCAATGTTTGTTACATAAACAATCAGTGAGTTCTATGTGTTATTTGTTGAGTGAGAGTTTGGCAATTGCATCAGTTGCCAACTGATTTCTCAAAGGGATATGAGTTTACGGATACAATAATAAACTGAGATGTAAGCAATCCATTGGCTACTTATGAAATATTTGACAAACTAGAAAATGTCACGAGTATTATTATCTTTAGTTTAAAACTACTAATTTGACGCAACAATCAAAGTCATATTAAATTTTACAAATGTTAGACTGATTGAAATCTCAAAACTATAACTATTGATCTATCAGTATATGATGCAAAACTTGGTATCTAAAAGAAATACATGTATTACAAACATGAAAGCACGATTCTGCAATTTGAATATGGATAGAAAGTTCATTTTTATTATTATTGAAAACTACATCAGCAATAAAGGACTGAGACACATACGAGATTGTCAACGCTGTCCGCTAGTAGTTTGTTCTTTAAATTCAATTGACTCATATATGAAAGTACAGACCATGTTCAAACTAATATTTGCCTACTGACTTTTTATGAATATTTAATCTAGTTATATAATAGAAAAGCTTTCAAGAATATGACGTATGATTTATTCTTATTCTAATAGGCCATCTTGTCACGACGACCTCAATGTCCGACTAAGTAGACAGAGTAAAACACTAATAAATTCATCATAACACTTTGATGATAGTTTAGATATCATAAAGAAATCATAGATTGATTATTTTATTTGACCATATGCAACACAAATATAGAGTGTTTCTTTAATTATAAATTTTGTTTCTTTCTATTGTTTTCTTCCTAAAACAACTGTTTTTTGCATTAGCACATATGTCGAAGTGTCTAGCTACATAAAAAAAACTAATTTTGGAAGAATTTTTCCAAGTAACTTAAAATGTTAAAACTATGATGAACATTTCAGAGCTTCAACTTCACATCTATAATCTATTCAAAAAACGCTTTTTTCAAAATGTTAGAGAAAATTGAGAAGGTCGTTTTAACAATGTAACGAATCTTGTATGGTTGAGCTCATACTTCTTTTCTTTAATTAACGAAAGAAATATGTTCATATTACTATTTTGTGATCATCAATCTATTTCACTGCGTAAGCTTACATGTTTCAAAGCTTTAATACGTGTGTGTAAATAAATTTTCTCAAAGTTTCAACAAAATTGAAACATATACTTAGCGTTTTTCCATCAAGCTAATATCAACTAAAAGAACCGATTAGTATACAAGTTTGATGTACTCAAGAACGATTCCAAGTCTTTTTTTGTACAGATCATGTTTTTTTAAACTGGATCTAATACATTTCTCTGTTGAATAATAAGAAATATTGGTCGTTACTATTATGCTGGCATAGTCAAACAATGAAAATCGAATATGTTTACAATTCAGTTTGCATAGCAGATTATCTCCTCCATTTATTCGAATATTTTAATAGTGTAAAATCAAAATAAAGATATCATATATATATATATTTTTTTTTGTTGAGAAGCTCATAAAAATATTAAGCAGTAACACCGGAAGTTTTTGGTGTAGATTTGAGATTGAAACCGCCACCAGTAAAACGTGCTTGTTCGCTGGAGAGAAAGAGTAGTAAATAATACTATGTTATATTTCAATAGTTTTCAATTTATTATCTGGATCGATTTGGTTGAATAAGATCAGGGGGCGGTTGTTGTAATGTAATTCCACTAATGGTCGTTGTAAGTTGTTGCATTTGAGAAATACGTTCTTTTTCTTTTGCCATAGATTCTTCTTTTGTAAAAAGTATTTTTGTCTTACTTATTGACTTCACTTGCTAATGATTTGAGTTGTTTAGTTTTAGCTTTCAATGTTTCTTGATAAATAGATAATTGTTCTGCTGCTTCTGGACCAGGTTGACGAGTTGGAAATAGTACTTACAAGATTTTTATGAATATGCTCTCAATTGTGAACATTTAAATGTTGATGCATCTCACAGTGAATCAGATTCAATGTAAAAACATTTTTTTGTAAGACTTTTCTTAACAAAAATAATTGAGAGCTTTGAATTGTTTTTATGATTGCGATCATAGGAAAAACAGCCTCTACAATAGTTGTGAACTCCAAACAGAGAATAATGTGTAGTATTTGTCGTATTTTATTCAAAATTTTTGGTGTAAAATATAAGCGACTGACACTTGATTAGGATTTGTGATTCTTCGATTTTTTGCTCGGCCATAAATAGTTGCACAAAAGAAAATCTATAATGTGACGAGTAATTGTGAGTATTATCTCTTTAATTTTCTATGTAAAACACATACCACTTCGAACTAATAAATGATAAGAATGAAAACAAATTCACACTATTAATCAGCTTCTTTGGAATATCTCCAGAAGATACACATTGTCAATAACTACAGAGTAAAAATTACATCGATGTAGGAAAGTCTCCAACAATATCATAGAGCATGAAAGTACAATAGATAGACGATTTTAGCACTACTGTAAATCACGAGAAGTATTGGCGAATTGATCAGCACAATATTCAGACTATTGCATAATACAAGGATTTGATATAATGCACTTGATTTTATATTCAAATCCTTCTTTATATTAGAGTTCAATCTTTGTTATGACTGAAAAAGGAATCAATAATTGAATTGATTCTATTACTTTTTTTCTTGAATTAATAATTCTTTTTGTACAACTTCTTCAGCTTTTTGTATTAAACGTTTTTGAAGTATTTGATCACTACCTTCTAATTTTCTCCAACGATGTACATTCATAAGATTTTCTAATTCTTCTTCTAGTGCTCGACAACGTGTACGTTCACGTAATAATTCACGTTTAAGATCGTCTGTATTAGAAACTTTATCTTGTAATGTACCTTTTTCATGGCGTATTTTTTTCAATTCTAATTTTAATATACGAAAATCTTCAAGGCGCGCTTTATACTGAAGTTCGCCTTTATTTAATGTTGATTGTTGAATCTTACGTTTTTCATAGAGGAGAGCAAGTTCATCATTGCGATGTACAAGTGGTGTACCGAGAACATCACGTTCGGCAATAACCTAAAAACAAACGAATTCATTTTTCTCTATGATTAATTTGTTTTTAGATTTTTCGTTGCTTGTTGTAATTGTTTCATTTGTTTTTTACGTTCATCATTTGCTTCAGATAATTGTTTATTCAAACGTTCAAATTCCAATTGTTGATTAGCACAAGCTTCTTCTTTTTTAATCGCTTCTCTCTTCAGCTGTTCAACATTTAACATTAATTGTTCTTGGCCATGAATTTCTTCTTTTAATTGATCAATTTGATGATTCATTACTTTTAATTTACGTTTCATTTCACTGATTTCATCGTGAGATTCAATTAAATTTTTCGAATAAAGATTACGATCTGATCGGACAGCTTCAGTAATATAACTAGTTTACAAAAATTTAAATAATTAAAATAAGAAAGAAAATTTATCGGTGTTTATACAATGTAAAATGAGTTAGGTGTTTTTCTAAAAAACAAATGTGCTAACTTTGAATACGTTCGAATCATCAATCTTACTTTCGATCAGTTGCGCTAGAGAGGTTTTTACAACTCACTTAGAGTATCTTATACAACAAATTTACTGTTTTGGCGAAAATCTCGTTAGTTTTTCAGTTGAAATTATTGCTTGAAAAAAACTTCATTTTCGTGTCCTTCATAATGACATTCAATCTATATAGTTCTAGATAATTACGTACGTAGTATATGAGTTTGATAAGATTTTTTCAAAGAAAACAAGAAGAAAATGATATCTTTTTCAAAAGTCAATTGATATTTGTTTTTATCTATACAACAAAAGAATTCAAGAGTGATCTTTTTGTGTTGCTCAGACAGCTACTGACGAAGTCTATATACACAATCACAATCATAATTATGCGAATGGTTTTTGAACATTTCAAACTAGTGATTTTACTTCTCACTAGATCAATAAAATGTGCGGAACCACGCTAAAATATGCTTTTCAAACCTATACTACCGCTTCATTTTTTCTTTGCAATTTGATCATCTATTCAGAAAGCATATTTAATCCTGAACAAATACTACAAATGACGTTAATCTACAGCCATCTACATTGTCATACAAAATAATATCAGTTTATACTATTTTACTAGGCTAATAAATCAAGTTTTCAAACACTAAATACTCACGTTCAGCCAATGAGTAGTAAAGTTAAGGAAGTTAAAAAGAATTGAAGCTTCTGAATGTTCAGGTGTCATTAGCTACACAATAATTAATGACTAAGTTAGATTTTACGAGATGTATAAATATGCATTCGTGATGAAAACACTTTTAGATCACATAAGCATGACGGAAATATGAGAAAGTAGTTTTCCAGAGAATTTTCATAATTGTCATAGATTTACTTGTATTTTTTTGAAAATGATGCTTTCAAGTTGTTGCCTGTAAAATGACTTATTTGTGAACAAATACGATAGTGTGTTCTCAACAATTTAATCCAAGATCAAATAATTGAATGGGTTACCAGTTCGTGTAATCTGATTTAATTTTATCATAAATATTTTGAGAGTAACATTTTCAAAAATCATTTATCTCGTTTCGCATATCAAAAGAATTTATTCAAAACTCCTTCGTTGAACAAAAAAATCGAATGATTAAATTGGACATGATAGTCATTCTTGAAGCAGTTTTAAGGAGTACGAGTTCAATAGCAGTGTGAGAACAAGCAGACTGGATACAAAATACCGCGTAAGAGATTGCACAGCTCATAACCCACTACTGAGAGCAATAGTGGAGTAGAGACTACGATAGACCGTTGAATTGTGTCTTCAAATTGGAAGATATTATTTAGCTCAGATAATCCCTCACGATAATGCACGATAACTAGGTAAACGAAACCACTACTGAGAGGAGTCCACGAAAAATAAAATTTATATCGTTTTACTTTTAGATCCCTCAAGTTGTCACTTTAGTTCCTTTAGCTCCCTTTAGCCGTTTTAGTCACTTTTGTGTGAGTGCAAGAGCAGTTGGTCATGGTACCCACACTAAGCACTAAACCGACTAAAAGGACTATGTACATTGAAATATTCTAATATATTTTTCTTGGTATCTTAGCATAAAAGTACAAAGATATAAAATTATTTTTTCGTGGACCTATGCTTAAACTTGATACTATTTAAAGAAGGGATAACAAATAAGCAGCGTTTTACCACAAAACAAAAAAAAAACAAATGAAAAATACACAAAAACAAGTTCCTACGAGAGACGTGCACGAGACATCATTTTTTCTCCTGGCCTTGCCTGCCCTGTGCACGTCTCTGGTATAAATAATAAATAGATATTCAGGAGAGAGTGTGAGCTTCATTGTATCTTGTAAGGATGATTCAGTAAGAGACATCTTTGATACGAACCAAAATTGACGTTCATGTAATGCCTTTTTATATACTGATTAAATATACTTCTAGCTAACCAATTTTGATTGTCTTTTTCAATCAATAAGTGAAAAAAAAGTGAAATATATTTTATACTAAGATTTTTTAGACGCAAACATTTTTTTAATTTTAAAATTACTGTCATATAAATAAAAATGATTTGATCGTTAGTAATATTCATGAAGACTTGAAAAATGTATATCAGTTTTTATTGTTTTCAATTGTTTACATTAACTTTTCCATTACTTACTGAAATTCTTGTCCACCTTTTTTCTCATCTATTATGGTTCGATATGTTTATAAGCGTTAAAAATGCAGAAGAAGGTTTATCTTATAATAAATATTATTTTAGTTAATTTAAAAAAAAATCATCTGTTTGTTTTTCTGTTCAATGTATTCATTTCGATGATTTTTGCTATCACTACAACAACGCTATTCGCATAAATACTGTGTTTCTCATTGCATTAATTAAAAGTCTTATTATTGAATGACTCATCGGATAATTAAACACATCGTTAAAAAACATTTTATTTACACTGTCGTTTGATTGGATTTATTCAAAAACAAAGAGGCAAACAAATCCACGTGGTATTATTACATATATAGGAGAGAAAAGGAAACGACCAGTGCACACTTATTCATTTTAGACAATCACTTAACAATATGACTGAATCAGTAGTAACGATTTCGCGTAAGTTCTCTATTTTAGTTTAATTCATATTTTAATAAATATAATTTTTAGCTAAAACATCACCATATCGTTCTCAAATTCAAACTCGTACTGCATCACCACGATCTTTATCATCGGTTAATTTTTATGTTTCACCAGTAAATAATCGAAATATCGATGATGATCATGCAGTATCCAATGAAAAGTCACAATTAAAAAAGTTAAATGATCAATTTCTATCGTATATTGAACGTGTTCGTCTATGTGAAACATATAATAATTGTTTAACTGTTCATTGTGAACATATCAAAAACGCACAAGCATGTACCAAAGATAAATTCGATTCACTTAAACAAGAATTTCAAGAATATCAACAAGAAAGATTTAATCGAGAAAAAAAAGATGTTGAATTAGAAAATGATCATAACAATGACGTCGAAAAACAAGTGAATGAATATAAAAATAGACGAACTTTTCTTCAACATGAACATGAATTAAATAGACAGCAGATTATTGATATGCAACAACAATCTATTGATATTCAAGTACGTATATTGGTTTTAATAAAATTTTTATGTTTATCTGAATCATTTTGTTTTTAATTTTAGGCTAAAACAGAAAAATTACGTTTTGATTATGAAAATTTCAATGACGATAGTAATCATTATCGAAAACAAGTGTCCTATTATCAATTATTTAAATCATCGATTCTCGATGAAATATCTCATCAACGTGATATGCATCAACGTGTACAATCGGAAGTCGATGATTTAAATATGCAAAAACAATTATCAATACAAGCACATGAAGCTGATACTCAAGTTTGTTTTTATAATGCGCATTGATTTGATTTGATTTTTCTATCTGACAAATTTTAGGCAATTGAAATTCAAAATGATAATATTTTTTATGATTTAACAACACAATTTCGTTTAGATGGAAATGAAAAAAGTGTTTTAAAACAAACATTAAATGAAATTCGTGAAGAATATAAAAAGAAAGATAACGAAATGCGTGAAGAACTTCATCGAAAATGTATGTTTAAGTATTTTCAATTCATTTTGAAAAATCGCTTACTTTTAATTCTTTCTACAAGATTTAAATGAATATAATCAACACAAGAAAAAATTAATTGATCAAAATTTAATTGAAACAAATCGAGAAACTATTGAAAGACATCATCTATCAAATGAATTAAATGCATTAAAAGATAATCGAGTATTATTGCGTCAAAAATTAACTCTAGTACAAGAACATTATAAGCAGTTAGAAGTAAATGTTCAACGTGAACTTAAACGACAAAAAGATATGCATGAACAATATGATCATGAAATTAAAAAATTAAGTTCATCAGTTCAAGAATATGTAAATTAAATAATTAAATAATATTTAAAATTCTACATTGATTTATTTAGGAAAATCTTCTTAGTCATAATTCATTAGCTCTTCCATCAACAATCAAAGATGAAGTTAATAAATATCGACAATTACTTGAAGGTTCCGATCAACAAATAGGTCTTCGACAAATTGTTAATAGGTCAAATAAGAAATCTGAATCAGTATCAACAAGTGAAAATTTCTATGCAACAGCACCTATTCAACAGTATCTATCTGCATATACGAGTCGATTGATAAGTGAAACTGATCTAAAATCAACCAATGATTCTACGAAACACGATGAGACAATCAATGAAATATCTATTGATATGTCTCATACAGATGGTAAATATATATATACACATGTTTATAATTAATAATTTTAGTATTATTTCTTTAAAGTTGCAATAAATCAAACATTACCATTTATACCGATGGAGACTAGAACAAGTATAACGGAAGAACAACAGTCTCCATTGATTTCTACATTTGAAAATCGTGAACCAGCAGAACAAATAACCAACGAACCAAATACTATGATGCCATCGGAAATAATCATTCCAATTACTATTGATATTAATTCTGCAATAGACGAAGAATTAAATGAAGCTAAAATAGTAATGGTATCACCTACGCCTGTTCTAGATCAACCAATGGCTGAATCAACTATTGTTGAAGTACCAGTATCAACATTACCGGCAGAAAATCCATTAGCTAAATTAATTTTAACAATGTTACCTGATGCAGCTCCATTTGTGCCAAGTTCGAATGTTACTAATAATCAGTCAGTTACACCGATGCCGATAACGGTTATGAATAATGATGCACCAGCATTTATTCCAAATAATCAACATCAACATGTAAGTAATCAACAACATTGGGGTGGACGAGGTGGCCCAGGAGGAAATAATCGTCGTGGACAAAATGCTGTAAGTTTCCTTTTGAAATAGCATAAATAGAATACATAATTCTTTATTTAGGGTGGTGGTTTTCATCATGGTGGTGGTGGTGGCGGCGGCGGCGGCGGAAATCAACGATCTGGAGGTCAGTCTACATATGTACAGTGGCTCCCAAAATTATCCAACAAGGTTTATTTTCAATTTTTTTCGCTACCTGAATCATTAGACAGATTCCAAATAGTGATTCGAGTAGAGAAAATTGTTTCCAACAAGAATATAGCAAAATAAAAATTCTAGTAAAATTCTCAAATCTAGGGTCTCCAAAAACCAAAACCCTAGCTTTTTGTCAACCAGAAACCGTTAAATATTTTTTGTTCTAACAGTCTAGAATGATAGAGTGGCCGATACTCTACAAAATGCAATGTCTCCCAGCTCTCTACGACATTCCTTCAGAATTTATAAGCCTCACAAAAACTGTAAAAATGCGTTTTTTAGTCGAGTTACAGCTAAATTTCACATTTTTCCAGTTTTTGTGAGGCTTATATATTCTGAAGGAATGTCGTAGAGAGCTGGGAGACATTGCATTTTGTAGAGTATCGGCCACTCTATCATTCTAGACTGTTAGAACAAAAAATATTTAACGGTTTCTGGTTGACAAAAAGCTAGGGTTTTGGTTTTTGGAGACCCTAGATTTGAGAATTTTACTAGAATTTTTATTTTGCTATATTCTTGTTGGAAACAATTTTATCTACTCGAATCACTATTTGGAATCTGTCTAATGATTCAGGTAGCGAAAAAAATTGAAAATAAACCTTGTTGGATAATTTTGGGAGCCACTGTATATGCATATTTTTTTTTCTCCTAATAATGCATTTATTGTATTTATAGGTGGTGGCAATTGGCAACAAAGTGGTGGTGGTGGCGGTGGTAGCCATCCCAAGCAACGGCGTGGACAAAAATAATATTGTATTTCATTATTTAGTTGCTTTGTTTTTGTTAATTAATTACATGTACATTCTTAATTCTCTCAGTTGTTTAACATTATATGTGTGTGTGTGTGTTTTATTTTGAGTTATGCTCTTATTCAAATGAATGAAAAATAAATAACAGCTGAAATAATTCTATAAACTGAATAAAAAGTTTAATATTCATCTTAGCATATACGTCTATCAAAGATTAATATATGATACATTGTAGTAAATGAAGGCGCTTTGGTGCTTTTATTTATAATTGAATTTTCAATAATTATTTATTTAATCAATAAGACTAAATGCTTTTGTAAATTATGCTTAGTTGGTGGTTGCATCGGTCACCACCAACAGCGAAATGAATATCATTCATGTATATTTGTTCCAATCCACTGGACCCAGTACGGTGTACCGGTCCAAACCAACAATGGTGTGTTCAATTACCAGCTTGTTATCCAACCATTCTTTCATGTGTACCCACTGTTGTCAAACGTGATGATTATCATGGTAGCACTATTTTAGATTCACCATTATATGCAAATAGTCGATTACTTCAACGTCTTCGACAAAATATTGATCAGAATCCGGTGCCGCCCTCATCAAATAAAGCAAGTCATATGTATCAACAGCATGTAATAGATACGGATAGAAAAAATGTTTTGTCAACACCTATTAGTCCGGTGTCAAAATCAAGAAGTCCTTCGTTACTACAGCAATTTTTCAATAGAAAATCTATGGACGGCAATCGATCAATTGAAAAGTCAAGAAATATTACACCTATTCTAAATGTACACGACTCATCGAAATCGAATGAGAATGACTTGGAAAATGCTAATAGCAGAGATAAGAAAAGTTACAAACCAATTTTTATAGTAACAATGATTGAAATATCTTCTCTGTATAGAATTACGTCAAGCAATTCATAATATAATGAAAAGTACTAGTGCTCAAGATAATTTATCAAAAAATATTAGTACTCATCATCTCGATCCAGATCTTTCTAATAGTGTTACAGATATCAAAAGTAGTCATTTTCTTTCACCATCCAATGTTCAACAACAAATCGATAAAAAATCATCACAAAAACAGAACACGTCAACAATTCAATCACCAACAAATTCTACTAACGATACTACACAACTTGGCACAGGAAATAACTGGATTAAAACGTAAGTCAAATAGTTCATGAGTAACTCGTTACGTTGACAAAGATTAGATGTAATTCACTAAATGGGTACTCGGTATTCTCTCACTGAAAACAGTTACGTCGTATGACATTGAAAGTCGATGAATAATTTCCGCAAGAATGTTTTTTCTTGGATAATTATATAGATTACAGGAAAAACAATCAAGCAAACAGTTAAATACAAAATCTTCGAAAAACAAAATCGATGTTGATCATTTACATATGAGAGAAGCAATGGCTGCGTTAGAACCACATATTACTAGAGAAGCATTGCAAGCATTGATCAATAAGAAGAAAGATCTAGAACAAAATGCTTTCATGCGGCTACTAACAGGACCTTCACGATGCTGTCGTTCATATCGTACTCAACGACGTCTAGCAACAGTTGCTCAACGTTCAATTGATATTGCTATCAACGATGTATCAATGTCTCCAATACATAATAATAATAACTAAAGTAATTCCTATAGATAGAAGTAATAACATTAAGTCAGTCTCATATCTCAAAATGAACCTGTGAGGGTCTTTCGTGATGTGCAGATGGTTTATTTACGACCAACATATAGGCTGTCAGTTACATCCTGATATGTTGCCTGGATGATGTTAATTTGTTATAAACTATTGCTTTCTTTCCTTTTTCTTCTCATGTTTAGTGAAATCACGCAAAACATATTCATTTAAATAATCGACGTATAGGACAAACATAAAGCTAAGAAAATCTTGATCAAAAACGACGATGATGATGATGATCTCTACATTACGGAAGATTATTTTTATGCTCTTTTGCATTCTACTTATTTTAAATCTATCATGGACAACTGCAATAGCTACGGAATTAGATCAATTACTGCCATCAATTCCAGTTTCATCCCAAATCAAACGATTGGCTTCTCGCTGTTATATTAATGATTATCCAGCATGGTTAGAACGGCAACAAGAATTGATGATATGGTTCCATTTAGCTAAATTATTAAAACTGCCCATAGAAGAAAACAAAGTAATACAAGAAGAATTGGAACAAATTCGACTTCAACACGAATGTCTACGCTTTATTGAACATTTAACTCTTTCAGTAGGACCTGGATAAATATATATATATGGATTGTAACGAAAAGGAATGTTTGAACTTATTAAAATATGAGTAAAAATGAATGAAACACATGTTGTTTATTGATTGAAAATCAGATTCTATTATGTTTTGATGTTACAGAATATTTATAAAACCAAAAAAGATTTCAAATTAGTAGGTGGGCATGTTCCACTTTGCTTGACTTCTGTCATATTCGTATTAGTTACGTTTTAACCATGCTATTTCTTTTTTCTGCAAAAAACAATTGATGGGTTTCGAATTTCTTTCTGTTCTACGTGACTCATCTAATTTTTTCAGCTCACGTTTGAAAAGATAAAGCAGATTCATTCTTAATGATTACGATTACCTTGAAAAAAAGACGTGCCATTCATTCTTGATGATACATGGAAATGTGCAGAAAGAAAAATGATAAACAGACCTCGAAGTACTTTTCATTCTCTATTACAAAACGATGGAATGGGCAACAAATTTAATATCAGAAATTTATAAATATCTTAGCCATCGTGATGATACAGCTATCGATCGTCTCAATCGTTTATATACTGTGACACTTCTATCAGCATTTGTTACATTGATTTCTTCTCAACAATATATTGTCGGTGGACGTATTATTTGTTGGACACCACAAGAATTCACTAAAGCACATAATACATATTCGGATGATATATGTTGGTTAGGCCATAGAAATTATTATGTACCAGAAAATGTTACTATATTAGATAGTCCATCAACGCCAAGAACTTATCCATTTTTAATCTATCCATGGCTACCAATAATTCTTATTGCTATGACTGTAAGTTTTATTTTACCATATTTATTAGTGTGGCATGGATTATCGGCAAGGTTTGGCATTGATATAAAACGATTAATACAATTAGATGATCCAGTAGCATCATCTCGATCAATACATTTTGTATTATCTCAAAATTATTCAATAAAAAATCATAGACGATGTTATGTTATAAGTATATATTTACTGATGAAATTTTCTTATATTATTATTTTATTTGGCCAACTTATTCTTATCAATAGATTATTAACAGGAGAATATTTTATAATTGATATTCAACAAATCTTCAATATTCTATCTGTTAAATATAATATGTGGTCATCAGTAAGTTACTAGCATTTGGATTATATTTAATAAAATAATTGTATGTCGATTTTCAGGCGCATATACCAATTGAAACAATGTGTGGTAAGTTTAATTATATGGAAGAGAAAAATCGAAATTATTTTTTTTTTACCATTTAGATTTTATGGTTCGAATGTTAGGTAAGATGATTCGTTTCCGGATGAATTAATTTTCTTATTGTTGCTGCTGTAAACTTAGGTCAAAATAATAATTGGTATACAGTACAATGCATTCTACCATTTAATTTATTTACTAAACGAATATTTGCTTTATTAGCAATATGGTTCATAATTTTATTCATTTTAAATATTATTGATTTCGTCTACATTTGGCTATGGAAACGTCTATGGTTAAGTTCACATAGATATGATTATGTATTTAATTTTTTTGATTTATATGAAATCTATCTGGGTATAAATAAATTAATGCTTACAATGTAATAAAATTTTTATTTTTAGATAACAAGAAAGATGATCATAGACTAAGATTGGCAACTACGAATAGCCGAATACTACGTCAAGAGTTTGTTTATAAATATTTAAATATGTAGGAATGAATTTATGAGAAAAACATAGATGAATTTCAATCCTTTTTTGATTTGTTTTAGAGATGGTTATTTGTTACTCAAATTGTTACATGAAAATTCGTCTGATATAAAAATGAGTTATCTTGTGGCTAATCTTTTTAAACAGTTTTCACAAGAAAAAAATCAACAATATCAAATCATTCAACGACATGATAGTAGTACTGATGTATAAACTTGATCGATTGAGTTTACTTCTGCACTATTATTTTCCTTGTTTTTACTTTTCTGTTAAATACTCTTCCTAATTTATCAGTACAATTTTTTTTAAGCTGAACTATTGCAATTTATTGTTATTGTAGCTTTGTTTTCTCTATGTATGTATGTATGTAATGACGTACATTATGCACCAATAAAAATTATACATTGTTGATTTTTGTCTTTTTCTATTGTATTAATTTATCCAATTTAATAATGCTCAATGCTATTCCTGACAGATGTACAGAAAATGCTAAGATTAGAGGTTTACTTAGACCAAACGAAATATTTCCTGATGATAGTGAAGATAACATCATTCCACAACAGTCATTTGCTTTGAGCTTGCGACAAGAATCATCTTTAACTTTAAGCAATCGGGACTCAACTTTAGAAATTCTAAAAAGAAATCGTGTTGTTGATATGAATAAAAAGATTTCTTCATTTCTTATTTTTAGTACGATACACGCATCAATACGTGGAATGGCGGATGAAAAGATATCTTTGAAAACAGAAATATAGAAAGTAAATAAATTTACTTGTACACGAACTAACATATATGTTGCCATCAATGCATCGTCTATGATTTTCTATTGCTTTTTTTCTTATGGAAAAGCATAAATATGAATGATATTATTGTAAATGAAAATTAGTTCTTATAGTTATGTAATGCGATATAACTGAAAATTTCAGTGTTTAGGTTCATCGATGACTAGTACTCTATTCTTCCCGATTCTAGTTTTAATTCTTTACTTGATCTATTACTCTGTTTCTAATTCAATTTTACTCTGACTCTTAAAAAAGGGTATTTTTCATTTCGATAAACACATACATTTAGAGGTGCCAGCCGAGGTGCTCATCGGCGGCTGAAAGGCTAAAAAAGCACTAGTTTTGTGAACAAGAACAGTCTGTCTATTGCAATATTCTATCCTTAGTATTGTCAAACAAATATGTGAAACAACTTTATTTTACATCTTGACATAATAAATAAAGTACATTTAAATAAATTAGGGATGCACCAATTCCTAGTACATGATCCGAAAGATGATATTTTTGCCTGATGAAGAACGCAGCTATCCGCTTATTTCATAGATTATTCAAGATTAGTTTTTTACGCTCCATCCGGAGTTGCAGTCGGAATTTATGAAAGATTTTAACAAGGCTTCGGATTTTACCTGGATTTTACATAAAATTAGAATTTGTAAGTTTTGTGCGCTTAAATTCTGGGAAATCCAACTCAATTTTAGACTTGCCGTTTGCACTAGGCAAAATTTAAGAATATATTTGAAGAGAGCATTCAAAATTGAACAGAAACAATATGAAAAAAAGATGCTCGGTCGATAACTCTCAATACTGAAAACAAGCAAACATTAGATCAAAAATTCCAGGAATTGTTTTTTCCCCTGTATAAAAAGAACATGCTCGTCATTCGCAGTTATCAAACGAGCATCTTTTTTCATATTATTTCTGTTCAGTTTTGAACGCTCTCTTCAAATCTATTCTTAGATTTTGTTTGCATCGGAGCCAGGATTTTGCACTGGGAGGAGTTCATGGGCGACTAAAAATTATCTGAGGGAACTTAATCCACCTCAGCCATTCCATGGATCCACCACTAGATTTTGTCTAACACAAACTGCCAGTCGGAAATTGAGTTAGATTTCACAGCATTTGACCCAATAAAATTTGAAATTCTAATTTTATGTAAAATCCACGTAAAATCCGAAGCCTTGTTAAAATCGTTCCTAAATCCCGACTATGGTTTCAGAGAAGGCGAAAAAACTGATCTTGACTGCTCTATGGAATCAGCGGACAACTGTGTTCTTCATCAGGCAAAAATGTCATGCATCAGACCATGTACTAGGAATTGGTGCGTCTCTATATATCATATTGAGATGAAAAATGAAAATATAAATAAAAATTGTCGATATCAATGATAGGAGACGGCGGCGACGGCTCAAAAAATCTTAAAATTTCCACTGCCACGGCGGCAGCTGACACTTCTACATACAGTACTATCCCCAGTTTGGACACTCAAATTATATAGCTACATTTTTCAGCAACATTAAACTTCGATTCCCATGTATAAATTATCTAGACAATATTAAACAAAAAACTTTACAACTAAAAACTAGCGATCTTTTAGATATATATTCTGACTTATTTGGAGTCGTATGAAAACTACAACATGGAATAAGAGAATCAGAGTACTGATAATCTTGTATAGTTTTAACCTTTAATGGTTTTGAAACAACTTAAATTCTTTATCGACATTAAAATTCAGAATGGTTGTGCAACACAGTCATCCTGTGCATAAACTATTGTAGTAGTTCGAAAGTATTTGGAACCTATTATGATGCTATAAATCAATTTGATAAAGGTCGAAGACAGGTAAAAATATTGATTTTATTTTAATATTAGCAGTGATTTTTCATCAAGCTGAATTCTTATTTAGGTAACAAGTTCGGAATCAACGGCTGGAATATTTGGTACATTACCTGCGCCAATGTATTAATCAAATATCTATATTTTTCGATCAAGTTCTTTCAACGGCTCCATTACTTATTGCTATCTTTGTTTTATCAAAATAAACGAAATAAACTTGTAACTAATGCTCAAGTTCCAATGGCTGTTAGTTTTTGGTAAAGATTAAATACTTTCATTTTTTTCTTAACTGACTTTGTTGTTTATTTTCAAGGGTACAATTGTAGTTCTCCAATTAATCCAGCACGTGATCTTGCTCCACGTTTATTTATTCCTTTTGTTGACTAATTGATTCTTTCAATGAAGCACGTCTTTAATTGAAATGCCAACAAAATCTTTTTAAAAGATGACCTCCAGCAATTCAAACTTTTAAAATAGTGCATATATTCATGTAAGAAAATCATCTTCGAACAAATAAATATTTTATGCTAAGTGAAAATTAACAAGAGAATAGGATCATTTTTTCCTTCAAGTAGATTTGAAAGAAAAATAATAACAAATATATATTTCAATGCTATTCTCATTGAGTTCACATATCTTCGTCTTATTCTGACGAATAATTGTCTTTTAAATACAGTTATAGCTATCATATTACGAAATGCGATCAAATTATTTTTATACAGTGTCGAATATGTGTATGAAAATAGATATTAAAGGATTATATTCATATAATCTACCTAATCAATTCTGATCAGACATATAAAAAGGCGATAATTTTCTGTTGAACATTTTATTTAAATATGTGTTCATTCTACATTCGATGCAGTATCGTTCTTCTGATTTCATACAGCGTTGTATCTGGTTTAGCAAAAGTTCCGCTTTGTCAATGTGCATGTTGTCCAGGTCAGCAATGTCAATCTCAATTATTAGTTTTCTCTATTGACGAATGCAATGAAACAACATGTTCTTTCGAACAATGCTATCAAATGTATCCAAAAAAATGTGGTCTCACACCTGGCATTACCAATGTATCGTGCAATTTCATAAATAAATCTACGAATGCTATATCAAATATAAGTATTTCGCTCTTGACCAATGTTACATCACGAAATGTTATCAGTCCAATAATGATGGCTATGAACATTCTTATCTTTTTTCTTTTTAAACATTTTTGAAAGCCTCTTAAGCGCTTTATGAATATTTAATAAAATGAATTCTTTTTTCTCTTTATTTTAAACGTTTTAAAATGCATACTATTAAAAATAAAATAAACTACCATGCAAAATTGTAATACCACCTAAAACATAATTTAGTACAATATCAATAAGAAAAATGTAAGCTGAATAAGAATTAGCATGAATTAATTCATATACTCGTACGAATGTTAATGTCATTGTAACACCTGCACCGAGTAATGTTAATGGTACAAACATATAATATCGGTTTCTATGAGCTACTGTTGTTATCATTAATAAAAATGATGATGACGTACCGATTAAAAGGAGAATAATACTAAATAAGCTTAATATTGTTATTGTTCGATTTAATTCTTTTGTTTGACAACAACATGTACTCAAACATTGTTGAAATAAACCTGTACGATTATGACTAGCATTAATATTCCAATTCGGTGTTGATATTGATAAAATAGTTGTACTTATAACAAACGTTATAAATACAAAGATAAGTAAATCAAGAGCTAGCTTTTGATTTGAATACATCTCTATATATTTGAAATGAAAAAATAATGATGAATGTGAGGCGTGTTCTTGAAATTCGATATATGTATAGATGCACAGGCTTTTTCATATCGCTGAAGAATGAAAATCAGAAAGTTTGTTTTTAATTGATCACGATGATTTGTTTTCTGTATACTCATTGCTTGTTGATGGTTCTTCAATTGTCTTACGTTTATAAATCTATTTAAAAAGAAAAGCAGAAAGTTTCAAATTCGAACAAAAATATTAATTTACTTTTGCTAAATGTCGTGTTTTGTCTGTAAATTGTTCAAGATCAATACCAATTGATTCGTCTAATTTATGTCCTTGAAAATACCATTGAATAGTAGGAATTGTTGCCTATAGACTCGTAAAAAAGAACAATACAAACTATTCTCTTGAAAAACTTGACTTACTACATTCAATCGTTGCGCTAATTCAATATTATTTTCATCGATATCAATTCGATAGAAGTTTACATGAGCTAAATTTTTCTCATAGGATAAATCGGTTATTGTTGGTAAAATGATTTTTGAACCTAACGACCAGCAGACAGTAAATAGAATAGTATTTAAACGTCGTTCGAGTATAATTTCATTGAAATCATGTTCTTTTGAAAGAATAAATAGAGGCATTTAAATAACTATTGTTTGATGGCGCATTTACATACATTTAAAAAAGATGCCTTTTCGTTCTCGTTGTAAACCAAATGATGTACCATTCTTTCGTGTCATTGTTGCATTTCGTTCAATGTTGACAATCAATCGTTATTGTCATTCACAAAAAATCTTCGATTTACTACGTTCAAATTTTTGTTTATTAAAAAGTTTTTTACCAATAATTTTGCATGAAGTAACAACAGACAAAGAATTTATTTTAACTAATGACATTTCTACATCAAAAACAGTCGATAGTGGTGTTTATTTGGCTTTTCTTAAATATGATGATGCGAAATATCAACCGTTGATGGATTTAAAATTAGTACCGATAGAAATTTTTCCCGAGAAAACGTTTCTACCTAAATCTATACCATTTATTATCTTTGAAATAGAACCATTTGTAAAAGCATTAAATAATATGATTGATTATATGAAAGAATATGAAAAAACAAAGCTGATGTGTCAAAAACATACAAATATGAAAAATGACTCACATAATCATTCACCACTAAATAGTATTAGTCAATTATCCACGTCAAAGCGTAGTTGTAAATATATAACTAAAATCGGATAGCTTAGAGTTTAACTGAGATACTGTACAATTCAACAAAAAATTACTATTATTATTCTAGATCATACAAGAAATACTAATATTCAAAGGTCATCGTCGATAATATCACCTGATTTAATTTCAACACCTTTATCAACTATTGCTCCAGTATATGTTAATAATGATGTTGACATTCGGAAATATACGGTTACTGATTCAGAAAGAATTAATTCTCTGTCATTTACTTTTCGTGTACTAAATCGAAAAGAACAAATGATTTACCAAAAAGCGATAAGTAATCAAATATTATTTCCACCAATTAAAAATCTCTATGGTTTGGAAGAATTGTTAATATAATCGCTTTATTAAAAAAAAGATTTCTTTAGCGAATAAACTATCTGAATTCAATGAAAATGAAATTGTCCTTTTTAAACAACGTCTCTTGTCACTTAACGTTGACTCGTCATTAAAATTAGAATTAAAAAATTGTATACATCAACTAGCTATTGAAAATAAACTTGATAAAACAGAATTTTGTGATTTACTTATGAAATTAGATCATCAGGTAATCAATAATCAATTACATAATAACGATATAATCAAAATAATAAAAGAATTACAAGAAGTAGCATCTAGTCATAGACAAAAAACATCCTTAAATAAAATATCAAATGTAATGAAAGTACTCTTCAGGATCGATTATTTAGAAAAATTTAATAAATTAGATAAACAAAAAATTAATTTATTCAATCAACGAATAAATCACTTGTAAGACTATAACGTATATCTTATTATAACGCTAAATTAGTTTTAATCAGAGCACGCATGGGTATATTAAATCAACAGTCAAGAATGTTTAAAAAACTTTTTCAACTTGATCTCTTTCAACATGAACCAAGTCAACAAGCGTTCTCACAATTTATTGATGAGGATTTACAACATATTATTCCAAAACCTATACCACTCAATAATTTAGGTCGTAACTTTTCTGTTTAAAATCTTGAAAACGAAGTATTCTCCTTTTTTCTATTCAGGCATAAAAGAAATTATTCATCAACTTCAACTCAATATCGACCGTTTAGGTCCGATAACGACATGTATCCTTATTGATAATGTTCAACAATTAGTTCAATCTGGTTTACTATTAACTTTATATAAAGTACCACAAGTAAAACGATGTCTAATACAATTTGTCGAATATATACAAACAGGTCGATTTGTTGGAATTCATCTTCAACGTCTCATTGAACAAATCAATCCAATGAAAAAAGTTTCATTTACGAATCAATTGAATATTTTATTACAAAATACTAAAAGAACAACATCGACGTATAGTTCTAATGAATTAATTTCTCTGCTAATGAATTTAGCTTGTAAAGGGCAATTAAATACATATGATTATGTTCTAACAAAAAAACGTATAAGAAACTTCTGATTTCTTTTTAAGTCATTATTATTTTTAGATTTATCAACAACAATCTTTGAACAAATTGATTTAGACGATAATAGTCTTCAATCAATCATTAATTTTCTTTATGAACAATCATCTCTAGCATCGCCGATGGGTCATATACCTTTTGAATATGTTAACAATTTTATTCAGTATCTTCGACATTTTGCACAGTTAGGCATTCTCTATGAACCACAAGTATACAATATATTAACTGATTTGCATAAATCAAAAGATCAAAATCATATTACTCTAGAAACATTTAAAACTATGTTAGAACATATAAAAAATGTTCATTATGTGTATGCTTATAATCATTTGAATTTAATGGAATTCGATAACTTTTTAAATGATATGATTTCTAATGGTAATAGAAAAAATATAACTATGAAATTTTTTGTTCCTAAACATTTTTTTTCCTTAAATGTAGGTCATTTAACATGTGGTCAAGCATGGCTCATATTGGATCATCTAATGAATTTATGCCGAATAGAACCTATTACTAACTACGATATAAAAACAATTCTTATCAATATTCAACTTGAATATAATCGCCAACAATCAACTTATCTAAAACTAATCGATTGTCTACAATCTCTTGCTGCATCGTATTCAAATTCTTTAGCTGAAATTCATTCTTTAGAACGAGAATTACAAAGTCTACTCGTATCATCTCATAGTGCAATAAAACGAATTCCAGATGAAATTCGAAAACGTTTAAATGATTTGATATTATTTTGTAAAAAGCTTAGTAACGATCCTAAATTACTCGAACAATTATTTGGTCAAACGATGAATTATAAGTTTTATAATAAAATGAAAGAAATATTAGAGACAAAAAATTTTCTTAGTAGAAAACAATCTTTAACTGCTATTGTACAAATGCATAAACATTTTCTGAAAATATCAAATTTAAATTTAAATAATATTTTATCGGCTCATGAGTTAGATAAAATCCTTGAACATAAATATTTTCAACAAGACAAACATGTTCAAGAAAGTATAAAACATATGGCTGAACTTGGATATTTACAAGTAAAATTTGAGATTCCATATTTTTTATTTCAAAGTCAAATTTTTTTTCGTAGGACAAATCGTTTGTGAACTATTTACTAAATGAATATTTTCTATCGAACGAATTCTCCTCTTGCTCGATAGAAAAATGTCATGAAATTCAAATGAAACTTCAATCATGGCCGTTAACTTTAGATTACAATCATTCACATGTTCGGCTAGTCATCGAACATTTAATTCAACTTGAACAACAAGACAAAATTGATACAGGTACATTAATTGAAATACAAAATAGACTCAATCGATTAGCACGTGTCGGTAAATCTTCTTTACCGCAGATCAAATTTATCATTGATGAAATTCATAAAAGTCAAGGTAAAACAAATCTATTTGATAAAAATGGTTTTCAATCAATTCAATCTTATCGTTTAATATTACACGATATTACTTGTGCCATCGAATTGGAATTCTATATTCAACAATTGACCTCTGAATATAAACTACCGGATAATTTCAATTATCGTTTTCGTCATTTTTTATATCAAATTTTACAAAATGAATTATTCACCAGTGAACTTATTCCTTATCGGTTTCAATTAGAAAAATTTCATCATCTACAACAAATCGATATTGATCAAATAAAGAAATTTATTGATTTATTACCAAAAGAAGTTTATGGTATATATCCATTAACTTTAACTGATAAATTGCTAGAAAGACTCAAATGGGATGGGAAAACAGTGGATAAATCCATGCGAGATCCATTATTAAAAGTAAGAACCCGAAGATATATATATATTTTTTTTTGATTTTCCTGACTTTTAAGATAATGAAACGTAAGACTTATTGAGATAATACCATAATTTTGTAATTAGTGTTGAAATAAGTTAATATTGTAAAAAAAATAAAGGTAATCTTTTTTCTCATCCTTTAGCTTGAACGTTGTGGTGCTTTATCACAAGATAATTTCGAAGATATCTATAATAGTCTTTATCGTACAGCAGACGTTTCTCAACTTTCATTTCAACAAACTAATAAAAATCAACTTCTCATTGATCTTTTCGACAAAATAAATGATTTACTTCATGATAATATCATTGATTTACAGAAATCGATTGAAATAAAAGAACAAGTATATTTTCTTGAAGAGGTCATTGATTTAACGGATCTATCACAAATAATTACATTTCAATCACGTCTTTTAAATTCATCAAATCAAAATGATTTTCTTAAGATTTGTGAAGAATTAAAAACTTTTGTCTATCAAGAACAATTTCGTTTATCGAAAGCGCAAGATTTTATTTCTCTTTGGCATTTAAATGACGAGAAAGGAAATTCCAACGAAAAACAAATCATGAAGCTATTCAATGATCTAGCTCATCTGCATCGACTCTACAGTAAATACAAACTATTTCAGCATTCTTGTTTTCTTCAAGTTACTCCTATCAATCAATTTTGTCGCATTTAGATAATTCTTCTCCACTAATTTTAAACCGATATATGGAAATGAAACAAATAAGTCAAGTCGCCTATCGACATTTAATCAAAGATTTACAACGTTTATTAGATCATGCATTCATTGAAAAACAAATAATCGAATGTATTCGTTCAATTGAAGCACAAGTCTATAAAGTTGACTATAGAAGACGATTCGATGAAGTATTAATTAAAAAAATAGAAGCACATTTAAAACATATATTCATTAGTCTACCGCATTCATTTGAATATCATTGGCGTTTTGATATTTGTAAAAAGTTACATGAATTCGTTGATGCTTATATCAATTCAAATGGAAACGAAAATTCATTTGATGAATTTTTAAATACATTTGATGTTTATATTTCACAAATTAAATATCGCCCATCGAGATCTTCAAAAACACGTCATCACTATGTTTCATCCGATGCAACTGTTCCAAGAATATCATCTTTACAATCTTTATAAAATACTTCTTCTACGAATCAAGCAGTTATATGTATGTATTCTTTTATTAACCGTCATTGACAATATCGTTGCATAAATTTACTGTTAAATAGTAATCATCTGTCTCATGGACAATATGTACAGGTGTAAACAGCTGTTTATCAATCTAGAAATGCATCATTCATATTAACGGTTCCGAGAAAACTGTTTGCAAAAGAAATCAATGGTTTCGATGAAAATAACGGTTAACTTGTACACGAGACTTAAAATATGTGAAGATCAAACGCAGAAATAGAAAAAGAACAAAATTGATATTTTATCTTGGCTAAAAGGGGAAACAAACACTTGCTACACTAATAATTACTCTTATATGTCAAGCATAGAAAAGTTTCATTTGATTGCAAATATGACATTCTTAGTTTCAATTACGGATTGAATCTTATAATTATAATGAATGAATAATAACGATCGCGAAATGAAACATCAACGTCCAATCAAATTGATTGGTTTCTAGATGTAATAGATTTTGGATGTTGCTTTCGTTTTTCTATTAGACAATGAAATCATAACTTGTATCAATATGCATATAAATGTAGTGTACCATGTAATTGTATACGCCGTTTTCTCTTTCCAACATTATCAATCTTTCCTGAACTGACCTTCAGAAAAATACTGCTTGCTTGCATGATTGCATTGTCTAACAGGCATACACTTGTTTGTTTCGTTAGTTCTTTATTTAGCAGCTGTAAACATTAATAGGATACGGAAAGATGATGTCGATGGCCAAGACAAAGAAAATAAAAGAAAAGCAACTGACAATAAATAACAACATCAACTTGTCTCAAGACAAATATCTTCTAAATATTACTTACGGTTTATTGTTTCATATTATGATAAAGAATTCTTTCTTTTTTTTTCTCTCTCTCTTTCTCTTTCTATTAAACTACTAAAATAGCAAAGTTCTACGTTAACTCTCATTTTTCAATAGACCGAATGCACCTATTCGATCATTTCTCTTTTTTTCAATATATTGAAGAGAATAAAAAATAAGCAACGAGAAAATTTTTCTTTTTTTTCTTTTCGTCAGTTCTCTTTGAGTCTCATCTTTCTTGCCTATCATTTTGATCAAACCACACATACAAAAAAAAAAGAAATAGTCCGTACATTGACAATTCATTGGAACGATCCATATACTATACATTCATAACAACATAAACTTCATTATGTCGAAATTTAAATCTTACATCAATTCCAAAGCTAGAGATGAGAATCAAAATCTATCGAACGACTCGACAACATTACCACCGCTACGACATATAACACAGGTAAACATAAAAGTCATGTAAACATTACTTTAACTTTATTTTAATCTAAACATAAAGATTGCGATTGAAGCTAATGATGACGACGATGATAATTATGATAAACCCCCTGTGCCACCTACACGTCATCCGATGGTTAATCGATTAACATCAAGCATAGATGAGTCCCTTGTTAATTTGACATTACTTTCACAAGATGCTGAAATTGAACAAGAACAAACATTATTTGATCTCGAACAAATATATTTTCAATTTCGTACATATATTGAAAAATATTATCATCAATATGAACATGACATTAAATCAACATATCTGAATTATGATCAACATTTATATGAACTTCAATTAAAATTAAAACAAGTACGAGAAAAAATTATACAAAATTTTACTTCTATTCAAAATAATAAAAATGATAATGATGATTGTATATTCGATATTAATAAATATCGTTATTTAGAAATGCTTACAACACAAACACTTAATCAAACTATGGACGTACAAAAACCATTACCAAAATATCGAATAAAATTAAATAATCTTGAGCAATTACGTGAAATTTTTTTTATTCAATGTGAACCAAAGTCATCGAGTTCAACATTCGAAATCGATAACGACGATCTACATGAAGAAACTACACCAACACAAAGAAGTATGTCAATTGGTAAGTAGGAACAAAACTTGTTAGTTATCATTAGGTTTCCATTGAAAACTAATAAAGAAACGAAAAATCGATATCAGATTATCATCGAAATTCGTTTCAGTAGAAGATGTCAAACAGAATTCATTGGAAGCTTTAACTTTAGTCATTAGTTACAAAGCAGAAATTATGAAGGCTCTGTCAAACGTAACAAAAAAGAAAAGAACAGAACATTTATTAGACTATAGTAATGATTTTCTAATTTTCATATATAGAGACATCAACATCAACAAACATGACAGATGAATATGATAATGTTCCAAAAGATAATTATGGTCGGTATCGTGTATCCTATCAAAATCCAGTGCGAACTCTATTCAAAAATCTTGAACGATGGAGTTATCCACTTGATGCCGGTAATTATTTTATTCCACTTTTGACGCCATACCGCCAAAGTTCTCTTGCATTATATTGTCTTGATCGTGAATCATTTATTTGCTATAATTCTCAATCATTATTATTATTACCAACCACGATTAAATGGCGTGGTGCACGTCCATCAGCTGTTTATTGGTTTGATGAAATGAATATGCTATTTGTTGCTTGTCGTACACATATATATGGTTGTTATTTAGATGAAAATATTCATGAAGATCAACGAATTCAAGTTCGCATACCCATCGAGCAAACAGCAACATGGTCAGATACACAAGGCCAATTGTGTTGGCCTAAATTTATAACATGTGGTAACGGAATCGATCGATTACTTTATGCATATTGGACAGATATATTAAGTAAACATACAATACCATCAACAACATTTATTTATTATCAAATTCAAGGAAATCATTATTCTATTAAATCTCGATATTTTCTTGACGGCCGTTTACGTGCATTACATTCAACGTTATCAACATATCGTCTTGGATTATTAATTGAACAATTACAAACTCAATGTACCTATTTAGAAATTCGTACATTAGAAGAATTTTCACTTGTGGCTAAATTTGAATTACGTACAACATTTGAAAGATTTCGTTATGGTTGTTGTCTAACAAAATTATTATTGAATTCAAATTCGTATATGTTATGTGATCATAAACAAAAACAATTGTGGCACATTAATGGTGATACAGGAGATATTAAAGTGAAACATGTAAATGAATCTATTTATAGTGTTATCTGTTTATTGGATGGTACATTAGCTATTTTATTAGGTTCACCAATGAGATTTGATTTTATTCATGACCCAAATAATAGTGGAAGGATTACGAACGATCTTTTCCCTGAGCAAGAATCTTTTGAAGTTTAATAAATAAAATATCAGATTTTATGATACGTATGTTATTAAAATCGAAAGAAAATTGAATGTTGAATGATTTTTCATACCTGATTTATTGTTTCGTGTTTGCCAATAAACTACATAACAGTACAGATTTGAATCCATAAAAATGATTTTATCGTTAATATTCATGAATGATTGCATTGTTGTCAAGTTTCGATAAAATTCTCGCAGCGTAGCACCACATCGAAAAAGTATGAAATAGATTTCAAATAATGGTCAACTGTTATGTTTTTTTCTTCAAAACATTACATACACCAAAAATCTATGTGTTGGACTACTGTAATTCAGATTAGAATTCAAATGAAATTTATCCAGGATCTCTTTTGAATGAATACGCTCTCGAAATGACTTGTTGTTTTTATATAAAAGAAATTGAGAATAGATAGTACTACTCTCGATTGAATTTTTATATGCGACTCTTCTGCGTCATTGTCGATTTTTATGAAAGTGTCAATTCGAAGTCAAGCAATCTTTTTGAGCTATCAAAATTAAATTTCGATTATTTGCCATAAACTATTTCTGTGTACTCTTCGGTTAGAAACAGCACCTATATCTATTTGACCCAAAAGTCGAGTCCCAAGTTTCGTCTCTACTGAATTCTTTCATCAGACTTCCAAAATATTTCTGTCCGACGGTCGAGATAATTGAATTGTGTACTCTATATTTTGCAGTCTGTTCTTATAATAAGGAAAATACCATACACAAAAAAAAACAAGAAAGACAACAGTAACGAGCTACAAATACAGCAATACATTTAAGGATAATATCGGCATTGAGTTTTTTTTTTTGATTTTGTCTATCAAAATGAATGCATACGTTATATCGTATAATTTACCTTTGTAATCACTTGAATATCGCAAAAAACGCGAAAAATACATGATAGAAAAAAAGAACAAAGCTTAGTTTCAAAAAGAAAACAAAAAAAAACGGGGAAATAATCGTCAATCTATCAAAGAAAATGGTAATAATAACAATAATAACAATACTTCTCTTTCTTCGTTTGGTTGTTAATTGTATAATCAAATTTTTTATACAAATTATATAAAAAATAGACGTTTATCGAAGACCAGGATGATCTATCTCTTTGATTTTTCAGCTTGTTTGATATAGTTTTGAAGGCGACGCTCAAAATCATCCATCGTACAATCAACCGGAATTGGCTAAAATGAATATAAAAACGAATGAACTAATAATTACAAACAATAGTAGTAACTAATCAACAAACCATTCCGGTTACATTAAGTAATTCAGTTACTTCAGTTTGTATACGTTGTGCTGAAGCACGCCAACGAGCTTCATCAGTTTTACGTTGTTCAACAATCTAAATAAATAAATACATCAGCAGTTTCTGGTTTATATTTATTTACTTGAGTCATTTTTTCTCGATATGATTGCATGAATAATTCAACATCAAATCGAGAAAGTTCATCATAAGTCATTGATGTTATTTGTTCACGTGTTAACTCCCAATCTGGTGGTAGCATAAACTAGAGAACATAAATACAATATAATTTAATAGATTCGTTTTCTTCTAATAAACAAACTCCTTACTTTGATTAATGATTTAAATTTTCGTACAATACTTAATAAAGGTTCACTATCATGTTTCGTTGCTTCAGTAGTTATGACCGATGATGATGCTGATGCTGATGCAAGTGGAGGAGCAGCAAGATAAGACCAAGCAGTAGATTTATAACTGAATGAATAATCGAATTCAGGTGATGGAAATTCATCAAAGCGCACTTTAAATATACTGCGTTTATCATTTACACTTAAAACTGTTGCAGCACGAAAAGCACCTTGATACATAGTCGATACACGTGCACCAATAGTCGGCGGTGGAAGGCGACGACCATTGGCATTCGTATTAGTACTAGTAGTATTCGTAGTTTCATTATTGTTATCATCATCTATTGAATTTACATTATTCGTTGATGTTACTGAATCTACTGCCGTTGTTTGTTGTTGATTTCTTGCTGATGAACGCGAAGACTAGTAAAGAGAAAGAAACCAAATTTTCTTAAAATTGGACAGAAGAAAGCATCACATCTTAAACAGAACACGTTTATCAAGAAAATGAGGAGTTACCACATTTTTTGAGACATTTTTTAAAAGCAAGAAAAGTGACACTATCTAATTTTATTCAGGATTTGGTACTTTTTTACTATTCTGAAAATTTAAAATTATAGCTTTTCCCAATTTAAAGAAGTTTAAGTTCATATTCGTTCGCTAAAATTAAATACTTAAAACTCTAATTTTTGTGGTTTAAAAACAATACGTAGGTGATAGTGTGTCTTATGTATTAGATTCAATAAAAAAATCGATAAAAATGTAATACTCGAGTAGGTGTTGGTGGTGGTGTTTTTTGAGCAGGTGTTGAAGACTTTGTTGATGTTTGACCTCGTGTTCTTTTTTTGTTTATTGGTGATGGTGGTGATTCCTCCTCCTCCTCCTCCTCCTCCTCCTCTTCTTCTTCTTCTTCGTCTTCTTTCTGCTGCTGCTTCTCTTCTTCGTCATCATCTTGCTCGTCTTCTTCTTCTTCTTCTTCTTTATCATCATCATCATCATTATTATTGCGTTTATTAACAGGACTTTTTGTTTTGGATTTTTGTGAAGCAGTTGATTTTCGTTTTTTCTTTGTTTTGGTTTTTGCTGATGATGAACGTGATTGTGGTATAGATCGTTTTTGAGGAGTGACTGGTGCTGGAGCAACATTTGCACGTGAAGATCTTGCTTTTGAATTCTAAAATTTTAATTTATCATAACGTAAAAATTTTCAAAATAAATAATTATAATAATATTTACAGCAACAGCTGTAGTTGAAGAAATTTCTCCATTAGAAATTCGTTTATTGACTCCTGTTGATCGAGTTGTTAAGGATGCTGCTGTTGCTGAAGATGACGTCGGTGGGGAGGAGGCTACTTTTGATAATGCTCGATTTTGATTATTTGTTGTTTCCGGTTTTTGTTTTAATTCACCTTCAGGTATAGATTCAAGTTTTTCACTTGTCGAGCAACTAAAATATGTTTTGTTCCGTAATTAAAATTATGATTCCATTATATTATAAATCTTACATACCTATTATTCATAACATCAACATTATCTGAACATCGCCATGCTTCGAGTTGTGCTTGTGTTAATGGTGCAGCATTGCTAGTATAAGGCAAACGACGCCATTTCAAACATTTATCACATTGAATAAGCATTGGTACAGCTGCTTGACGTCGTTTAACGACTTCAAGTTCATTTGATGGTGGTCGATCGAGTTGATCATCTCGGTAGCCTAGAAAAAAACTAAAACTATGAACAAATAAAAAATAATCTAAAGATAGTTTACCATAAGTTTCCCAAAATTCTTTAACATAATTTTCAATTCCAGCATCAGACCAATATTGCCGCATATATTCGCCCATGTTTTTCAATAGAAAGTGATATTCTTTTTCATCAGCAAAAGATTGTTTGTTATGTGTGGGTTCAAGTACAATAGATGGAATATCAACAATACCAACAACACCGCGACAATATCTATTATAGAAAAAATAAATCTATGGTAAGATTATATTTTAGAATTCACTTAATAGACTGTCACTAGTTTTCAATTGGAGAATGAATGCGTAAAACTACTGTTATTTGGTTGGTCGAATGATATATTTCTATGTTACTAACTCAGAGGATCACTTACAGTTATTATTGTTTGTTTTTTTAATGGAATTTAAATATCACATAACATAGAAAATAATTAACTTACACAGTCTTTTTATTTGGTTGTCCAAGTTTTTCATACATTTTAATAAGTCGACCACAGTTATAAACAAAGACTCCATCACCTGCACGATTTTGAATATTTAAACCATAAATAAACGTTAATGTTTTTGTTGTACTCATTTCTGATTTTTTTCTTGCAAGTCCATTACGTAAACGAATAGTCAAATCTTTTAATTCAGCTGCGCTGATTTGTAATTTTCGTAAACGTGCACGTTCCTCAAGTGATGTTGTTACGCCGATCGTTTGTTGAAGATGATGAACTTGTGAGTCGGCTTCACGTTTGCGTTCTTCTAATGATTCAAGTTCTTTTTCGCATTTTTTTATTTCTTGTTCCGAACGTGTTTTAAAACGTGTAGATTTAAATTGATATTGTCGAGGTTTATATAATGTATGAGGCAATTTTTTTGTTATAACGCGCCGTCGTTGTATCGTTATACGCATACGTGGTTCATAATAAAGTATACAAGCATAAGCACGAAGCGAACGATATTCTAGAGGAATACTTTAAAGAAAAACAAATTATCAGGATTTGACGTATTAGACAAAAGAAAACGAAGAAGATTTACTTGTCATCATCATCGAATAAACTTTGACGATTTCTTGAATCAATTAAAATATCATATGGATCTGTTTTTATATTAAGTTCCGACTCGCCAGTGTCAGTTAATTTAACATTATACAAAACAATTAATGTTCCAGTCGGTGTTGTTATTAAGTTAAATTGTTTAAATAGCTCATCCATTGTTTTAAATGGGGAATATTTTTTTATTAAATGCATCTCAAGTTCATGTTTAGCTTTATCAAATGTATATGTACGTGTACCGTTTAATTGTTGAAAATCCGTATTTTGAATTGCCTGTTGGGTGCGTAAATCAAAACATGGCATTGGACATATAACTTGTGAAATATGTTCTTCTTGATGAAAGGAACGTGAAAGAAATAGACATGTACCAATGTTATCTTTTTTTGTAAATAAGATGAAATCATTGGCAATACGCATAGCGCCTGATTTTAAACCATTACCATATTGGCCAATTTGATTGGAATCTGGAGCATGACGCTTAGCTGATTTACCAAATACAATAACATTGAATACATCGTCTAAGAAATAAAAAAATACTAAGAATAGGATATATTAACTCCACTTCAAACAATATAGGCATCAACACATGATGGCATATAAAATAAATGACATGATCAATGGAGGCATTTCTCTAGGCAATGCACTTACCATAATGCATTCCACAACCATCATCCAAAAAAGTCAAATAAAATCCTCCACGTAAAGATGGATCTTTACATGTATAAATATCAAGATTTCTTGCGCCAGCATCACGTGAATTATCAATTAGTTCGGCTAATGCTCCAAAAAGGAATGTATGTGTTGTTGAATTCGTATGCAAATATTCAAAGCTCAATTGAGCTTTATTTAAACAATCGTATTGATCCATTATTTCATGATTAAGATTATCAAAAAAAAGAAAGAAGAAGAAATAAAAATGAAAATGGAATGATAATGTGCCGTGATGAAACGAAACAAAAATAAAGACATCAAACATTTAGGTAAATATATATATATATATATATATGTATACATATATATGAACAAATTCATTTAAAAAACATAAAGCAAATATAAAAAGCAAAAAATATTTATATCAAAAAGACAAAAAAAGACGATCTAGTGCAGAGCATCGAGATCAAACGCGTATGTTGCTTTTTTATGCATGATTAATTGATTGTCAACGAAATAGAAACTATCAGATTTGGTTTCATATGGATGAGCAATCATTTCTCTCACTATAAAAAAAAGACACAAATCAGTAAATTAAATAATATAGAAAGAAATATTTACTTTGTTTAGAATCAATAGTAGGCATATCGTAGATATGTTCAATTGAATTCGTTGTATTTGGAGGACAAAAGCCAAAATCAAAATCAAATGATTTAATAAGTTGATCACGAAAAAAATGACGTTCAATCATGCGGAAAGATTTAACTTCACGATCACCAACTTTAAAACCAACTCTACATGAGCAAAACAAAAGTGAGCCAATAAATAAAACTTCATTGGTTCTGTTAGAATTTTTTATATGAGTAAAAAAAAGTTTATGACACCGGTTGCCATGAAAAAAAGAAATTGATTTTGTTAAGAATGATCTTATTATACAGCGTGAAATCATGTTTGAACACGCTGAGTTTGAAAAGCAAATATCTAAATAGAGGTCGCTCAAGCATTTTTATTTGAACTCTGTCAAACAAGAGCAATTTATGATTGACATGCGCCCATATTTGCATAGATATTTATAATGCACAAAGGAGATGGGTAAAATTTTTACATATTGAGAGTAATATTGTATTTTGGTTTTGTGAAACTTTCAATAGCTCGTCGTGAAAATCTACTTACATTTGGTAGACGATTAGATATTTTGGCAGATGGATCTCTTCAACATCGTTACCTTTCGTTCTATACTGGTAATAAGATTTGCGTGAGGTCTCAGACGAAAAGAAAGACATAGCATAAGTTACAATAATTAGCTGTGTTAAGTTTTCTTAGCATGACGACTACATTTTTGAATGTGGTGGTTATTATTACAAGCAGATTGAGTATAGAATGAGTATTTTTCATGCTACTCACTGTGAACAAATTAAATATGAACCAAATTGTCATGAAAAATGCGGTTATATTTTTAAGATTGACAAATCTTTGGAGAGTTTAAAACAAGCGTTTGGTAAACTATCTCAATATGATATTTTATTACTTACGATAGATGATAGTTTCTATGAATCTACCAAAACTGTCTAATCTCAACAGTTGGTGGAAGATTACGAAGAAAACTGAGATATTCAATATTAATGAATTGTACTGTTTCCTGATCAGATTACAAAATCAGTTGATGATACAAAAATAACGTAAACATATAATTTCAAATGAATGAATGTACGCAAGGATGATAACTTTATTGCATTATACTTACAGAGCGCCGACTTGCTTAAGTTTAAGAAATGCCTGAGGAAAACGATATTGAACAAAACGACCAGCTGTTGGATCAATATCATCCATAATATCATCTTCGTCTAATATGAAAATTATAATCTAATGAACAAAAATTAAAAACAACACAAAAATTTACCAGGATCTCGTTGAACTTCAAAGAGAACCTTATTTGTTTTCATATCACGAATTCGAAAATGAACGAAATCAATTTTATACACATTTTCATCGGTTTCCGTTAGATAGTCTAAAATTATTTTTCGTAAAAATTTTGCCAAAACTCTCCATTGCATCTGTAACTTATACCTGTCGTAGATTTCTTTAAACGCAGTACATCGCTCACAGTAATCGATTCTTTTTTCTTTAATTCTTCTTCAGTAATCGGTGTATCATTCGTAGCTGACGCTGAACCTGTATTTTTGTCTGTTGCTTTTGTTTTCGATGTTACTGCAGTTGTAGCCATCGATGTACAATCTATACGAGAAGAATAAAGTTACAACTTCCGTTGTTTTTTACGAATCATAGGTTTCTGTTTTTCTTTTCCTTTAAAAGCAAAAAAAGGCGAACTGTACAATACGGTATGTGCAAAGGAAGAATATACACCGAAACAACAACGAAAAAAAACGTCTTGCGAATAATTATGCACACAAAAATCGACTATTTCTGTTTCTTCCACATATTCAAATCTTGAAAAAAAAACAACAAAACTCTAGTCAAACGCATTTTTGTTTTCAAGAAAAGATAAATAAAGAAAAGAAAAGCAAAGAAAAGAAACGAAGCGAAAGACGAACGAACAATTAATCATAGCAACACACACTATACAATAAATATGTGTAGCAATAAAATTACACAACAAAACGAATAAAAATACAAAGGAAAAAAACACGAAAGAAAATTATTTGATTTTAATTTGATTAATGATCAGTCGAGGATTCAGATCGTGAAGATAATATTCGCACCGGCCTAAACGAAATGCAATCATTAATCGTTGTTATGATGATAGTTGATAAAAAATGAAAACGAAATAAATTTCTTTTATACTCGCTATCGAGATAAGACCACTTCATTCTATTTGGATATTTATAGAGAATGTGTATAATGAAGACAATATCATATCAATAATATTAAGTTAAATTAGAAGTAAGCAATACCACAAAAAATAGAAAGAGATGATAGTGTATTTAGATGTAATTTTAGCAGATCTCTAGTTCACGATAAACTTTAAATGACTATCTCTCAGTCATAGACAAATGAAATTATGTATCTTACTGAACAAATTATATCTAAAATCTCATTGATTACGATTCATATACATACTCTCGTCTTTGGAAAGATTCTTTTTCTCTCATCTATCATTGGACTGCGAACATCGAGTAATATAGTGTAAATACTTTAAATCTTAATAGTGTTATCTTAACCAATTCTATCATAAGATCAAACGCTGACTGCCTACTGCAAGATTTCGTTCTGAGATTAATTTCTCATTGGTCGTATGATCTAATGTATTCAACAACAAGAAATTAATATGTTACTATTTAGTAGCCTTTTGGAACTCTACTTATTGCCAAAAAATAATAATTTAAAAATCAAGTCTTACAAGTGCCGATAAAAGCACGACATACGTATACAAGGTTTCTTTTTCTATCATTCTGTAACAACAGTATTTAAGTATTCTGATCGTTGAAAATTTTCTGTTCATAGAATGAAGTCCAAATATATCTTGCTTCGTGAATACATACTTAATTATATTTTGTGTCGAGTCATTGGATGTCGTTGATTTTGTACGAGCGGCATGTTGTTCTTGTTCAACTATTTCTTCAATATGTTTACTAAGTTCCATTAATTTTGGATCATATTCATCGCGTGCTTTACCTATCATCCGTAAAAACAGATAGTATTAAATTCAATTATTCGCTATTTATTCTTTACCCAATCCAAATATACTTGAATTTCGTATTGCTCCTTCTGCTGGTTTTTTATCGTCTACTGGCGATGAGTTGTTTTTTTGTGTACGAGGTAATAATTGTAAACGTGGCCGATTTTCTAAAACCCGAAAGATAAATCAACGAGTCAAATAGAAATTATTTTTATTCGTTATTATACCTGCAGATACTGTATTAGTATTCTGTGCACTAGTGTTACTTATTGTTGATGTTAAACGTTTTTCATCTCTATCCGATGGATCATCTCTATAATTTCGATTATTATTTGTTTTATTAAAATTTGATCGTTGTCGAGATCCTGCTGATGTTTGATTTCGATTATGATCATACAATAGATTTATCGGAACAGGAGGCTGTTGCATTTGAGAATTATGATGATGATGATAATACTGTTGAGGTTGATTTGTATATGATAGTTGATCATGAAACGTACGGTCACCTGTTGATGTTTGTGATGATGGTAATCCACGAGAATAATTTCCATCGTGACGTCCACGCATCAATTGATTACTCATTAGACGTGGCAATGTCTGTGATTTTGGAATTTTGTCACGGACATTCTATAAAAATAATGTTCTTTTATTTTTTCTAGATAGAAAAGTACGAAATTTTCATACTTGAAAATTATCAGCAACATCTTGAGTTACAGTACGCTGAAATGTTGGTGAAGTTTCCACAACGGATTCATCAATAGGACAGTCAGCCCAGTTTCGAGTATGTTGCCGTGTCATGCTTGAAAGATCTGCTTTAGGATCGCTATGCTCTTGACTTTCATTATCATTTGTTGTCGTAATATCTGATGTAATAAATACATCGTCAGATACTTTACGTGATGTTGGTGGTGACGGTTCTTTGTCGGATTGAGATTTTCGTTCGTTAATTCTAATGGAATCTTTTTTGTCATTGACTTTATCTTCATTATAATAACCTAATAAAATGTTCACTTTTCAATTTACTTCACAAAAAAATAAAATTCAAAAAATAATTTTCTCACCATCATTATATCCATTTCCATAAGAACCATCGCCAGTAATTTGAGCATTTCTTTGTTGATTATTACCATGTCCATCATAACGAAATCCACGACCAGATCGATTATTATTATTGTGACCTGATAATTGTGGGAGAGAATCTCCACGTGATTGAAAACCAGCTAAGAAAGATGGAATAGAAAATTTTCTATTTCAATAGAAATAATAATAGGTTTACTTTTATTTCGAAATCCTTCTGCTTTCGTTGCACCAAGTGGTCGACTTGCAACATCAATTCGAATCGGTTGATCATTAATAAACTTAAACAATTTGAGGAAGAAAAAAAAACGCTTTTAATTTATTTGTATTTTCTTTTTGCATTAGAACTATCTACCGTTCCATCCAATGCAATCGCACTACGTAAGGAATCCGCATCCTCAAAATCAACATATGCAAAGCCTTGTAATTAATTAAAACAAAAACAAAAAATAGATATTCAATGTTAGTACTAGATATAAAAATCAAGCGTGAATATTCTAATAAAACGAATTCTCGTCAATAAATACCTCGAAATCGATCTGTTTGTCGATCGCGTACTAGTCGAACTTGTTTCACTTTAATACCAACAAATAAATGATGTTCAAAATCACCTTGTACCATTGAATCTGGTGCATTGCCAATATATGCTGTAAATGGAGGTTCCGTGGGTATTACATGATTGCGTGCTGGGCCACCTCTTTTATTAGTTCGATTTTGATTTCTAAAGAAAAAGAATTTCTCGTTCTTTTTTTTCCGGCTCTTATGATTCATCCTTTTGAAAAATCTCGATAACATACCCATAATTATTATAATTGCCACCGTGATCTCGTCTTAAATCTCTGCTGTGCATAGAGATGATAGTAGACTATATATATATGATATTTTGGTTCGGTTTTTGGCTACGCTAAGACCCAAACGAATTTGTTCGGGTCTAAATTGAATTAAAAGAAATGATATTTTCTAAAAAAACCAAAACAAGAAATGAACAATCATAAAAGGAACCATTGTAAAAAAAAACGTTTGTCTCTGCCTTTTTGAATATGTTGTACATTTTTGTTTGTTTCATGTTCACGTTCAAAAACAAAAAGAAATAAGGACATCTAAACAAATCCAACAGAAAAGTATGACGGAAAAACGAGAGAAATAGAGCCTGGATTTACATTAAAAGAAGAAAAAATGAACGACAACGATGCGTTTTTATGCTGATATATATATATATAAATATGTGTGTATAATTTTTTTTTCTGTTTTCTGTGAGACAAAGGCTAGTGCAAACTTAATGTAAAAAAAACACCCAACAACAACAACAACAACAACAACCAGACCATACATCTTAGGGACATAAGAAATCGGATAGGCAAGTAGGGCTGTGCCCAGTGTGAATGAGAATAAAGAAAGGATCAAATCACAGTTACAAGTTAGAGACACTCTCACACACGTTAGTAGTTTCAGCAGCAATAATAAAAAGAAAATGAAGAAGAATAAGAGAAAAAAGAAAAGAGGAATCAACACAATTTAGAAGTGCTGTTCGTTAAATCGTTCATGTTCATTAAAATGGACGTTGTTGGCTTTGTTGATTATTATAAACATTGCCACTATTACGTTGCTGTTGTTGAGCTTGTTGTTGTTTGTTCATACCTTGATGTTGACCAACCGATTGTGGTGGAATCTGTTGAGGTTGTGCTGATACGGTATACATATAATGTGCTTCTTTATTTGCTGATGAAGATGAACTACGACCATAATAATCATCATTACCACCAATATTTGATGAAGAATTTGTTTGATTATATTGTTGACCTAGTTGTTTAGAAGCTTGTTGTTGAGACATAGCTGCTGCTGGTTGAGCATACATTATTTGTGGACCTTAAATAAAATAGAAATTGAATTTTTTTCTTGACTATAAAAATATATATGTATGTACCAGCTGAATAACTTGGTGGTCCACTAGCTGAATGTCCAAGAAAATAATTCAATTGAGCTGGCGAATGTGCTGTCTGTATACCTTGCTGTTGATTGTTCGATTGTTGCATACTGAACTGTTGAAATTGTTGTAATAAAAGATTTTCATTAACTGGAGTCCGATAACTAAGAAAATAAAACAAAAACAGAAAGATAAAATGTAATGATCGCCTATTGGATTATTCCTACTTCATGGATTGTTTATCATTATTGTTATGTGTTTGATTTTGTTGTTGAACTGGTGGCGTTACTGAACCATATGCACCTGATGGTGATTGTGCTTGTGGTACATTAGCTAATTGCAAAAATGAATTTGCAAATAAATGTTCAGCTTCATAGGGTGTTGAATAAGTTGTTGCACCTGTTTGTTGTTGTCCACCAACAGATGGTGGAATTCCATACGCTGCTGAATAAGCTGCCGAGTATGATGCTTGTGATGGTGGTCCCGTAGAAAGAAACATGCCAGGTGGAACAGCTGGTCCTTTTTTTGGAGCTGTTGATGTTGTAGTCGCTGTTGACGAAGGTTGTACAGATGATGATGAAGTTGATAATGATGATGCTTGTGCATTTGTTGATGATTGCTGTCGATTTGATGACATATGTTGTTGTTGTTGTTGATTTGGTGGTGGTTGTTGTGAAACAAGATAACGTGGTTGATTTTGTTGTTGTTGTTGTGGTGGTGGTTGCTGACTCATTGCTGCTGCCATAAAATAAGATGCATTAAAATCCATCGATGGCAATTGAAATGCTGTTGGATCATACGAATTATCTAATGGCACCGGCTGTTTAAAACAAAATAGGAAAACTCTCGTATGATTTTATTTCATTTTGAAAATTTACCTCTTGTTGTTGATGGTAAAGTAAAGATGGCAGAAGTAAATTCTGTGGATTCATTTGATGTTGTGGATGATGTACAGCATATTGTGTTGGTAGAACAGGTTTCATGGACATTGAAGGTTGTTGTTGTTGCAATTGTGTTGGCATCATACGTGGTTGATTCAGAACTGGTTGTTGTTCGTGTGAGCGAGCTGTATTAGAATGTGTTGATAGTGAAACAAAAGCAGACTGTTCATTTGGTTGATGTTGTATTCCTGATCCTGTTGATCGTTGGAGATTCTGACCTGATGATGTAACAGTTTTGGGTTTTGTCGCTGATGTTATGGGCTCAGAATGTGAATAATATGCAGATGCTGCTGAAGACGAAGTAGATACATAATGCGATGGTTGCTCTTCACCTGTTTCACCCAAATTGCCAAACTGTACATCGATTTTGTTTACGCCACCATCAAAACGGTCAGTAAAAATCACCGGTTGATGCGGAATTCGTGGTTGTTGTTGTTGTTGTTGTTGTTGTTGTTGTTGATGATGATGATGTGGTGGTGGTGTCACTTTTGTATTTAAATTTTGACCAGTTGATTTTGATGACATTACATTCGATTTTTGTTGTTGTCCTGTTTGTTGATCACATAGGATTGGTTTAAGATCCATGAGTGGTTTAGGTGGTACAACATTTTGTTGTTGTGATTGACCAATACCAATAACATTTTTGATCTGACGAGCTGCTTCTACAGGATCAAATTCGTTCTTCGACTTTTGTTGTGTGTTTAGTTCAGCAACATTATTTATTGTCGATATTCCAGATGATGAAGTTTGACTATCGAGAACTAAAAAATAAATATATAGAATATGGTTTATTTTTTAGAAACATCAACTATAATGTATTACCTCCACAGCGAGCATTTGATGCATTATTATTTTCTGAATTTGCTGGTTGTTCCTCATCTTTGGTTGATTTCGAAAAATTTAATGATTCACCATTCCAATCACTACGATCAAAGTGTTGATGCTTGCTACCACCTCGTCGATTTCTATATGGTGCATCAGTAAAACTTTGTGTTGTATCTGACGGTGTTGAAGAATCAATATTTGAATCTTGTGGTTGTTGTTCATATTGATACTGTTGATAGTTTCTATCGTTTCCACGATGACTACCTCTATTACTACCACGATACCGACCTCGATAGCCACTTCCACCACGGTATCTTTGTTGTGGTGCATAATTTTCATTTTGTTGCTGTTGAGTATTATTTTGAGAATCGCCTCCATTTTGTTGCTGCTGAATTCTTGACCAACCACCACCACCACCACGAGATTTTCCTCGATAAGTGGAACCATCTAAGAATCAGTTTCTTTTTTAAATATAAATTAAAGTTTTTTTCTTTCTCATTACCTCGTTGCTGTGCATTCTCATCCATTTCTCCTCCATGTCCATTTTTAGTTGCTGCAATTTTTTGTTGTTGTTGTTGCTGCTTTTTAGTTGCTTTATGATTTGTTGCTGTACGCCATTCACTTGATATTTCAGTACCTTTTTCAATAAGTAATGCAACCGTTCGTTCATAATCATAATCACAATCGAATAGAGCTACTAGAGCATCTTCTTGACTGGAATTCGCAACAACATCAAGAACTTTTCGAACAATGTCTTGTATTTCAGGTTGATCATGTTTTTTATCATCAATTAATTGTGCAAGACGAATTTGTTCTTGATTTGGATAATGTTGTTGCGTGCTTACGGCACCACTGGCCGCGGCGACGCTCATTCTTCTATTTGAATACACACACACAACACACAATAATACAATGGGAAAATAAAATGTTTAAAAAAACACCGAGATTGAATCGTGTTTTTTTTTTAAATAGAGAAATGTTTTATTGGAAGAGAAATAAGGGAATAAAATGATCTAAAATATAGTATATTATTATTTCGAATTTCGAAAGCGGAAATAAACGAATCAAATGAGTAATAACAATCGCTATCATTTACTTTTTATTTTCTAATACATACAACTTCAATTCCACATTATATCTACTAGACGCCATTCATATTTTACATAGACTCTACATGTATTACTAGAATAATATAAACAAAAGCCATATACATTTCAAAATAGAAAAAAAATCATTTTTTTCCAATAAACTTTGCAAAACGTTTATTCAAATATGATTAGAAGATACAATTAATATGTATTTCGAAAAGAGAATGCAACTTAATGCACGATTGCTTTCAAACAATGTAGATGGCGGTAAACACGAGTCAGATTTTTCTTCTCTCGTTTCTTGCTTGTATAATCAATTGAATATATTAATAAATAAAAAAACGATGATGAGATATAGATTGTCTTTAAATAGGCTCATTAAAAAAAATACACTCAACTCACTCATTAACTTAGCAATTCATTTTGAGAAGATTGGAGATTATAGTGTTCTATTAGCTGATTTGAGTAATCACATAGATCATCTTATAAGTTTGCATGAATGAATGTTGGCGAGAAACAAAAAATGTATTTATTGATCTGTAAAGGTTTCGTTTAATTGTACTCGAGACCAGTCTTGTATGTCAAGACATATCATGAATTTTTAAATAGTAATCACGCGAATATATATTATTAGAGCAAGAAAAGAAAAACCTAAGTTAAAATGTCATGAAAAAACGGAGCTGACATTTGTTGGATACGATGAATTTTCCCATGCGGCACTTCGTGATAAATCAGATTCACTTGCTGCTTTCTTAGGTGGTGGTGTTCGAAAACTACCATCGTTATGCATCATCCATCTAGCTGGTATTGGTGGTAGAAATGGTGTACGAAGACGAGCAGTATCACCTGGACCGATACTAGTATTGGGTGTTGTTTGCATGACAGCTAATGTTGGACTGGAAAATTCTATAGTTTTAATGAATGATTACGAAACGTTTGAATAAAATTCTAAATATGTGATTTACCAGCCATAAGTTCTTCTTCAGTGCGTGTATTATGAACTGGTTTATTTTCATCTAGTGAACGAAGTTGACCTCTTCTTTTCGGTCGTTTAAGAGTTGGTCGAAATACTCCATCGACAGGTATTTGTGGTACTGCAATTCTAAATATATCTTATTATTTTATAACGGATTCAACAAAAAAGAAAAGAAACAAACCCGTTGACAAAATTATTTAGTGTATCCATATCAACATCGAGTGATGGAAGTATTGTTCGAAATCGGTCACCTTCGCCAAGACCATCTAGGGCACGAACAATCAATTGACGAGCTAAATCTCGTTCTAAACAAAATTAAAATTAAAAGAGAAACCATTAGACGAAAAAATAAATGACAATACCTGCTTTGTGTGATGAAGCAAGCCATGTTTGTACAAGAGCTATATCTTCTGTACCCAAAATTTGACAGAGTACTTGTAACATCTATATTAATATATAAATAACAAAAAAAAGCTACAAATAAAATATCAATCAAATATAGACCCAAGCTTCTCGTTCGTGATCATCAACTTTATAATACCATGAAGGTTTAGCATATCCTTTAGCAAAAAGTCGTTCTCCACGACTTGGCGGTGGTAGTGGTTCATTAAAGCGAGGTGTTGGGCCAGCCGATGTCGATGGACCACTTGTACGTAAGCTACCTGTTGTCGATGGTGGTCCATAAAAATTGGACAGAGTGGCTGGTTTTTGAATTCGATCAATTTCATTTTGTGTAATAAATCCAAGTGACATTGCCAAATCTCGAAGAGATTTTTTCCAAACAGTTTCATCTTCGACTAAAAATTTATTTTTGAAAAATACAACAATGTTTTATTTTTTGTGTAGACATTATGGAAATACTATGCTTCACCTAAACCATGAGGCTGAAAGAAACCCAGATTGTATGGTTGACAATCTTCAGTGGGTTTCAAGCCAAGTAAATTGAATTTAGGAACAACATTACGTTTACGAGGAAGAAATACTAATTGTCGTTCACGATTTTGACGAGAACGAGGTCGACCTAATAAATAGAATGTATGATATTACAGAAATATGATTAGTGCAATCAATCGATATGTAATTTATTCATTAAAATGTATACAGTTAGTTTTTGTTTTGCTATGTACAAAATTCTAAATAAGATTTATACATACTTTCATTGTTATGAATGACATCGTTGGAAATTCTATGAGGAGATTCGCTAATGTATTTATTATTATTATTATTATTTTGGGCTGCTGGTCGACCAGCTCCGGTGGGCAAGTTATCAAGAATATTTTGCCAGCTGGTCATGACTACAAAAAATACAGTGTAACGAATGCAGAGAAAAAAAGTGATTTTGTATGTGAGAATGTGTGTCTGCATGGAACAGAAAACAACATCAACATTGACATCAAACACTCTAATCCCATTCTGTACGCTATCAGCAACAATCAATTACACAGCAACCAATAACTAGAGAAAGCAGAATGTATTGAAAAACGTCTAGTGTATTCTTTATCAGTTGTGAAGAATTATAAGTTTATTTCTAAGGAAAATTTCATTGATTAAAGTCATTTTGATGCGTTTACTTCATATGAATTGATTGTTATTATTCATTTCTGTTTTGGAAAGTTCTATTTTTTTGTCTCTTGATTAAGCGTACATGTTTTTTTTTTGTCAATTCACCAAAAAATCGTCCTTGAACAATACTCTATATTGTTCGTAAATCCAATTGAAAAGACATCGATCGTTTTGCGGCAAATATGTCTGATCATATAATTAAGTATAAACGTTTTGTAATAAAAAAATATAGGCGAATATCTTCCTTCAATTAAAGTAGAAAATATATTATTTTGATCATTAGCTGTATCATCAGAGAAAGATAATGAGCAATAAAACACTAACGTAAAATTGAACGATACTTGCTTTTATTTCAACATCATGCAACATACTGTATAAAAAAAAGCGATAGAATAAATATAAAAATGGATGTAGTAAAAAGAGTGAAAGTAAGAAAGACAATTAATAACGATAGCGTACCAACAGTTTTGTTAATGACATTTTTGTCAAAATATAGGATACTCAAGAAAGCATTCCGGTCGCTGTATATCTGTAAATAGTATTAAGAATGTTCGATCTTTTGTTGATGACAGTAACCGACTTCAACTGATATTATTGCATGAAAAATTTCAGCGAATATTATGCATCGTGTTTCAAGGTGAATAAGAAAGATATCCGTAGCTCAGATTTTCTACACTTGAAATTCATCTTCACTGGTGATATTTGGTTTTCATTCGTTCTTGTCCAGTTATCTATTAGTAAAGATGATTTTGAGAATGAACATAACTAGTGAAATAATATCGGAAAATATTGAAGCACTTTTTTTCCTATTGATCACCCATGTAAAAAACTTGATTTCAAGAATCGATTATAATCATACAATTTTAATCAATAATCTTAGCTGTAATAATCATAGCAAAATCAGTATTTAATCGATTATTTCCATTTTGTGTACTCAAAAAGTGAGTACACTCTAGAATCGGTCAGTGCGTCCGTCCGTCCGTCCGTAGGCACGATAACTTTCGAAAGGAGAGTCAGACCGTGATGAAATTTTCCACACAGTTCAATCTCATGAATATCTCGATCCAGTTCGAAGATGAGAACAATCCCTCAAGAAATGGTTGAGTTATCGAAAAAATTGTCATTTTTGACCAGGCCATCTCTGAGGAGGAGTACAGGGAATTTTTTTTCAAAAAGTAAATCTTTCTCAGAATTATTCACAACATATATAAATCGACTCAGTTTTTAACGCTGATTCCGAATCTGATATTAGTTTTGAGCTAAACTGTAGCTTTCTGATGAAAAATCGCCTGAAAAATGTCTCAAAATGCACAAAAACTGCATCCAGAAATCAAATTGCCTAGTTTCTCATGATAATTTTGGTGTTCAGACATTCTAGAATGACTCATATGTCCCATGCACTTTTTGCAGTACACATANAATCGCCTGAAAAACGTCTCAAAATGCACAAAAACTGCATCCAGAAATCAAATTGCCTAGTTTCTCATGATAATTTTGGTGTTCAGACATTCTAGAATGACTCATATGTCCCATGCACTTTTTGCAGTACACATAACTTTCGGATGAAATCCGAAGTTTCCACATTTATTATGATTATAATTGATTAAGAATATTTTAAAAAATTGATTATAATCATAAAAATGGATATTAATCGATTAAATAATAATTTTGCTATGATTATTACAGCTAAAATTATTGATTAAAATCGTATGATTATAATCGATTTTGACCTCTCTAAAGCTGATTTTTTTCGATATTTTTTTTACATGGGCATGATCGATAAAATACAACGTCATACTGATTAGTAAACGAATTATTTTTGACCATCAAAAGTCAAATCAGGCAGTAATTCGATAAGTGTTCAACAGTATTGTTTTACAGCTTTTTCAAAAGCCAATCATCGTGTATCGATACATCATGTCTTGAGAGTAATAGAATCCAAAATTCATAGATTTTCCTATCACGATGAAAGTCAAACTTCGCAAAGATATTGTTAGCATGAAATTTTGCTTGGAACTTCAAAATCTGATTAACATTTACTTATAGCGGAGAAAGTAGTGAAGATGATTGGTTTAGTAGATTTTAAGATTGAGAAAATATCAGACGCAACTAATCGAATTCTAACGTAGAATATTTCATTTTCTATAATCATATACATGTATTTGAAAGTCTAGGAACGTTTTAACGACTTTATGAACGTCAAATTGAGCATCCTGAATGCGTAATCAAACATGAAAAATCAGTTTACTTAAGTAAATAGAACACAAATACTTGAGCGACCATATCTTATTTTCCTCTCTGAGTCTCATTCAAATCCCATAGAAAATTGGTACAAAATAGAGAAAAATATTCATTTGAAATGAAATTATTGAATCATGGCGAAATCACACATCTGTTTCCTTGATTATCCTTTATATGAACCAAAACATGTTGATGAAAATCATATTTTTATTTAAATATTTTAATCAAACAACTTTTCTTCATCAATATTTCTAAATTTTGTTTTTGTTAGTTACATCTTTACGATGAAAGCGTAAAGCAAATTTTCGAATTAAAATATAACAGCGACATTTGACGTGCTTTAAGAATCATTCTATATATGTCTGTTGATGATGAGTCAAAAACACAGTAACAGCGAAACTAATATATATGTATATATAAATACTCACAAACAGAAAAGAAAAGAAAAGAAAATGCAATAATTTGTTTTTTCTATTTAAGCAAAAATTATACTGCTCCTATATGATAGTCGCTGTTGTTTCAGCTGATGAAGTTTTTGTAGGAATTGAAGTCTTTTTTGCTGATGGTTCATCGCCATTGTCTATATGATCATATGATCGTTTTGTTGTCGTAGCGGTAGTTTCTTGTTGATGAATAGTTACAAAGGAGATTGAAGAATTTGACGATAGTGGTGCATGAAGTTTAAAATCATTTGAAACGAAAGAAGGTGAGTTTTCTGAATTTAATACACCGGCTGCAGTACACAAGTTGTGTTCTTGTTCTTCGATAAATTTTTCAATAATATCACTGAAATTTACAATAGAGATCGGCGGGTTAGTCTCGAACTTCTGTATACAATATTGGCAGCATACTTCAATCTGTACAAGTGTCCTGAATAGAGTCTCTGTTCACATTTCAAAATATTCTACTCAAATTTTAACTCGAAATTATGGTTTGCTACTGAAATATTGAAATGATCAAATTTTCAGGCAGATAGTCCAAGCGCGTACTAATTCTTTTGAAGCGCAAACTCTGAATTCAATAATGACTTATCCCTTGAAAACATTCTCCTGTAAGTCGGTTTTGAATTTTTAGGAAAATTTACCTCACAGAATTCAGTGAATTAATACGCTGTTGCTCCTCAACAAAAAATTGATACCGTTCACTTTTTTTCCATTGATAGTAAAAATGAACTACTTCACGAACAGATCGATTTGTACACTAGGAAAATTAATTACAATGTTTTTTTGATCTTAAAAACTCGATAATACTTACTTTATAAGTAGAAATCTCAAAGAAATTCTTTCCATATTCGCGTAAACCTTCTTCAAACTTTTGTATTTCAGTTAATGACCAAGCAGTATACGAATCTAAAGTATAGATCTTGTTTAAAAGGTAACAAAACAGAAAAGAACTGAAATGTTACATATAGTTTTAGTGGCTAGTTGACGAAACTTCATAAGTGCTAATTCGGTATTTAAATGGCAATTCAAAAGAATTTGAAGAGATATTTCGTCGTCCGATGCCGGATCTTTATAAACAAAAAAGAAGGATAACACGAAATGTGATTTACCATAAACAAGAAACACAAGCAAATTTACATTCACTGTGAATTATAGTAAGATATTCATCAATATTTTCATTTTCACTATCATTCACCGAAGACGATGACCAAAGTAATTCATCAACCGGTACTAAACATATAAAAGTTATGTTTTATATATAGTATATGAAATTGAGAAAAGACAAATTTTCATTTTTATCAAGAAAATTCCTTTTGATGATCAACTGATTTTGACATCATGAAGGAATTGATTGGTTTGTCTACTGACTTAAAATCTGAGTTTTCATTTAAAAAAAGTGTTAGAAAATTTTCTATATAAGATGCGAATTACATAGAATCAATAAATAACTTGGGTTAGTTCTGTTCATGCTAACATTCGTTTTTCTAAATTCGAAAAAGGAAGTCCACCGATGAGAAACAATAATACACTTTCCATCGCACAATAAAAAAAACGAGTATGTTTATTAGATCGTTCATGCACAAGGACCTATCCATGGCTTAGCTTGAAAAATCTTTTTTTCCCTCTAATCTATTCAACGCAACTATAGATTTATTCTTACTGAATCTTGATAACATATCCTAGAAAATTATTGTCAAATATGGTTTTTCAATTATTCAGAACACTGTAGGTTTAATTACCTTCTCTATCATCGTCACGCTCATTTGGTAAGTCATATTCAGCTTTTGATTTAATTTCTGCTTGATATTCATCACCAACATGAATAGGCTAAAACAAAAGGACACAAAATAGAATTCTACATAATATTTTTATCTTAACAAACTTTAGCAATATCAGGCTCATATAAACTATCATCTGTATCATCGTCATCATCTTCCGGTAACATTTCTCCATTTATAAGAAGTGAACGATGCCTTCGATTATCTTCATCTTCATCGTCGTCCTCATCTTCAACATTCGATGAACTGTATGACTAAAAATCCAAATCATACTTAAGATCGTACAAAATATTTCATTTTACTTCTTCATCATCTTGTATGACATCATTGCTAATCGTTGGTACATTATTACTATACAATTTAAACAGCTCATTTAATGGCATATTTGCATCCTAAGAAACAGACAAAAAATTCTTTTTCCGATTACCTTCAAAAAAAAACTTACTACTTGTAAATGACTCAATTCATTTTGTTCATCGTCTGTAACTGATAGTTCTTCTTCTTCTTCTTCTTCTTCTTCAATCGTTTTCTCTTCATCTTCATATCCATTTTGATATTCATCATCATCTATCGAGGAATAATTTACAACAAAATAAATAAATAAACAAAGAGATTCAACGAACCTGTCTCGACAACATTTGAAGTCATGTTGAACAATTGAGAAATACAAGAATACAAAAGTGCTATGCCTAATTTTTTGTTTAATGAATTGATTGGATGGATTCTTTGAATCAATTAAGTTTTATCTTCTAGATGTCACTGAAGTTAACTATTGAATAAATTGTTTTTAGTAAACTTTTGAGAACGAAAATATATTTTTCTTTTTTTATATTTTTCTTTGATTTTTGATCTACTTTTTATTATTCGATAAAAATCTAACGAATCGAGAACTCGTGTTTTTTTCTCAAGTAAGTCAGGAGACTTACACAGATAATATCGATTTCGACATACAAGACCGACAGTAAACTATAAAAATGTGTTTTGAAAAAGATCATCCATATAAATCGATACGAAGGTGTATAAAACATAATAATCAAGAACACATTTACTATGATGTATCACGACTTGATCCACAATTATTTTGTAAACGAAAAGACTTTAACCCTTCTAAAAAATTCAAAAGTTTTACTTTATTATTTAGCACAATTACCCTATTGTCTTCGAGTTTTACTGGAATCTACTGTTCGACATTGCAATAATATTTCAATTGAAAATAAACATGTACAACAAATTTTAAATTGGCAAACAAATGCTATGCCAAGCAGTGAATTACCTTTTTTGCCTGGTCAAGTGATCATGCATGATTTTTCGTAATGAATCTTTCACTTTCGATTTTTTCGTTGTTCTTAAAACGATTCTTTTTTTTTATCTTTTAAGTGGTTTACCAGCAATTATTGATTTAACTGCAATGCGTGATGCTGCAGCTAGTTTAGGTGCTAATCCAAATTTAATTCAACCTAGGATACCAACAACACTTCTACTTGATTATTATAATATTGAAGCAGATGTTGCAAGAAAGTAAAAAACAATAATAATAATAATAGATTTGTGAATCTTTTTCTTTTCTGAAACATTGATCGAATAGAATTGTACGAAAAACAACCGATACAAATCATGCAACAAATTTAGAATGCGGATATGAATTATGTCCATTTCATCAAGAAAAAACAATTTGGTAAAATTTTCATAGTATAAATATTGTGCTTTTTTTTCATGATTCTGTGATTTCTAGTGCGGATGCTATTGAAAGAAATCAGCAATTAGAATTCGAACGTAATATTGAAAAATTACAAATTTTAAAAGTAAGTTCTATCTTGTCTTAAGAAAATATTTAACGGATATGGAGTGTTGAATAAACGAATTATTATGTTTCTTTTTCAAGTGGAGTGCAATAGCATTTGATCGTCTATCAATAGTTCCACCTGGAATTAGTGTATGCCAACAAATCAATCTTGAATATCTATCGAAGCTACTCATCACAGAAAAAAATAAAAGAGAACAAATAACATTTGTTTTTCCTGATACAATTATCGGCACAGATCCACATACAACACTTTCGAATGGTTTCGGTGTACTAAGTTATAGTAACGGAATTCTATGATTTTCTATTAGAAAATTTTAAAATGAGCCATTTAGATATGGGTACAATTGAAGCCGAAACAGCTATGTTTGGACAACCGATCAATATTCGTCTTGCATCAGTTGTTATTGGTTGTCGTCTTGTGGGACAACCTCATTTTATGTCCACCTCAACTGATCTTATATCCGCTTTGATGAAAGTATGAACAATTGTTTCTATTGTTTGAATTGAATACAATTTTTATTTTATTTATAAATAGTATCTTCGTTTGATTGGTCTTGATAATAAATATATTGAATTTTTTGGTTCAAGTTTAAAATATGTAACTATTGCTGATCGTTCTTCTATAGCGCATTTATGTGTTGGACAAGGCGCCTTACTTGCTTATTTTCCGTTGGATGATCTATGTCTAAAACACTTTTCTCGTACCGGTAAATGGCTTTAGCTTGTTTCAATGAAATGAATTTAATCTCTATATTATGTTTAGGTCGAGATCCGTCGTTTATCGATAGATTGCGTGATTATTTAATTGCAGCTAAATTATTCAGTGATGATGTTCAACATCAAAATATTGTCTATACGGATGTTTATGAATTTGATTTATGTACTGTGACTCCCAGTTGTAGTGGACCAAAACGTGCTCAAGACAAAGTATCTTTGAATTCGATGAAATCGGATTTTCAAGAATGTCTCACGGCGCCACCAGGATTTAAAGTATGAATTAAAAATATGAAGAATAGTTGCTAGCACAAACTAAATTACAATATTGTAGTTCGATACTCTAGATGTGAAAAAAAATAGATGATTGATAATGCTTTTGCCACATTCTATGTCGAAGTTCAGTAGGTTTTAGTTCGCTCAGGACATTTTCGTTGTTTTCAGCACATAATAATGTAATCTTTTTGACGTTTTTGCACTAAGAAAAAGATAAGAAATAACTCTAGATGAGAACATAACTTCGTTCCTTTCGATTTAATCAAAGTTTATATCAATTCACAAAAAGAAACGTGTTATCTCGGAAAAGAACTACTTTGTTTGGTTATCAAATACTTTTTTTAACTTAAGTTTTCTTTCATATTTTTATCTATATCGTATTCTGATTTGTTGCAGAGTAGAGCTATGAAAACCTTCTTTATATTTCAATGTTCCCATTAAATTATGTCTCATGAAAAAAAAACTATATCCAGTAGTTTGAACAAAAGTTGTTTTGAGATTTTTTTAAAACTAAATTCTATCTGTCTAATGCTTTAAAACCAAATAAATAAGATTTTTCATAGCAAATATTCATGATAGATCAAGAAATATATTCTCAAATCTTATAGAAAGTCAAATACTATTGCTAGTCGTTTCTGCTTTAGGGCTCTTAATTAACTAGACTCATAGACCAATGAAACAATGTTCATACTCTTTGAGGTTTTCCATACTTCGAAATACAACTATCGATCACGAACTAGTATAGTTGAAAATGAGTATCTCTACCTTAAGTTATTCTTTGCAACTATGTAAGCAGATTTTAAAATGTGATGGATGTGTCTGATAACCGCTTATATTTTCAACTGAAATCGTAGTTCTACAAAAGAAAAAATTTAAATCATAAGAATCTATTATATGGATTCTTTAACTTTTGTTTCTGTTAGGGTTACAACCTTCCGGCAGATCAACTCGATTGTTCTATATCAATTTCTCCTGATGAAACATTGAAACATGGTTCAGTAACTCTTGCTGCCATAACAAGTAGTGCTAATGGAATCAGTCATGCTACATCGTTATTAACCACAGGTACATTCTCATAAAATAACTAGATTTTCCGTCTCATATGAAATACAAAATATATGTTTAAATTTCAATTAAATATTCATATTTGTCCGATCATATTTAAAAGCGAAGTCTAATGTAATTGACTGCCAAAATCCGTACGATAAATCAAATATAACTAAATAATGGATGATATTTTATCGCTATGAAATTCTTCGCATAGAAAAATATTATATTTCTATTTTTCTAATTTTGATATTTTTAGGTCTTCTAGCAAAAAATGCACTTGACTGTGGCCTTCGAATCCCAAGTTTTACTCAAACATATTTATCGCCCGGCAGTGGTGTTGTAACTACATATTTACGTGAGAGTGGAACATTGAAATCTTTGGAAAAACTAGGGTAAAAACAAATCTTTCTGATCTTCGAAACTTAAGAATTCGTTCTCTTTCAGCCTCCATGTAACCGGTTATGGTTGTAACGAATGCATTCAAAATGAAGAAACGAATGGATTAAAACCGGATATAAAACAATTTGTAAATGAAGTTAGTAACATAGTATAAAAACAATGGAAAAGAAAAATTCTACGTTCTCTTTAGAATAATCTGATTACCATTGGTATGATCAGTGGTACGCGTCAAACTCAACAACGACATTCACTAATTAAAGCAAACTATGTTACATCACCGCCATTAGTACTTGCGTATGCATTAGCTGGAAATGTTCTCACTGATTTAGAACAAGAAACAATTGGTGTTGATAACAAAAATCTATTCTTAAAAGATATTTGGCCAAGTCGCCAAATTGTCGAAGAAATTGAAGATGAAATCATAATTAAAAAGTTGTTGAATCAAATTCATGAAAATATTCAAGTAAACTTAACTCAATTCTCCCTCCAAAAGAACAAACTTATTACTATTTTAGACCGGTAATCCACAATGGAATTCAATACGAATTCCTTCAATTCATTTATATCCACAATATCCATGGGCAGAATATTCAACGTATATAAAACGACCACCATTTTTTGATACAATAGTAAAGAATATATATATTTTTTCCCTCTTAGTTCATAATAAATTTCTTTTTCACATAGGCTAAGCATAATCCTTTGTCAAAAACTATATGCATCGATAATGCACGTGTACTTCTGTACTTGGGCGATGATGTTTCAACTGATCATATATCACCAGCCGGTTCTATATCTCGAACTTGCCCAACTGCCAAATATTTATCACAAAAAGGGTAAAATTAACAAACAATTTTACATATTTCGGAAATTTGAGAATATAAAAAAGTCAATTCCCATTGAGTTCAGATGTTTTTAATTCAATCGGATGAGAGTAACGCTCTGAACCGGCACCAATCACACATAAATCTGCATGTACTGATTTCTTGTTCGTTAGTTTCAATGCATTCAAAAGTAGTCATCAAAACGATAATGGCATACACGACAAGAATTAATAGCAAACAAAATGTGACATCGTCGTAAATGATAAAAGACTGATCTTTTACAATTAAATCAATTGATTGTCGTAACTTCATTACTGTAAAATAATTTTGTATCGTTGAAGTATAGATTTCTCGAAAAATGAAGTCAACTATTCTCAGTAAAATCCGAATTATGATTAATCATGAGTATACAACTACAGTTGTATGTGATTTTTTATTGAGTTTTGAAATATTCTATTGTTTATTTTTCTTTCTCGTATAGAATAAATTTAAAAAAGATGACTACTATCAAGTCCGATCTTTTTCAAATAAAAAGAAGTTAAATATATAGAAAATTTTATGTAAAAATTTGAGTTTGACTTAATCGATTTAAACATGTTTGACTCGAGGATAATGAGCGAGGACTCAAAACCAATACAGTCATTACGTATACATTCATTTTCTTAAATATGCATCTGTAGTGAACATGATTTTCATTGTTCTATTTATCAGAATTACTCCACGTGATTATAATTCCTATGGTTCTCGTCGTGGTAATGATGCTGTAATGGTTCGCGGTACCTTCAACCATCACCGTTTAAACAATAAACTTGTGACGAAACGTGCATCACCACTTGTACCATCATCATCCCCATCACCCGCAACAGCCACTCTTTATTTATCAACAAATACAGAAATGGATATTTTCGATGCATCGGAACACTATCGAACAACAAAAACACCACTTATTGTTCTTGCTGGAAAAAATTATGGTTGCGGACCAACAAGAGACTGGGTTGCTAAAGGACCTTGGATGCTTGTATGTAGCAAAATGACGATAGACAAAAAATTCAATTAGAATATTATCTTCATTGCAGGGTATTCGAGCTATACTTGCCGAAAGTTTTGAACCACAACATCGTTCTAACTTGATTGGTATGAGTATATTACCATTACAATTCAAAGATGGTGACACGTGTGCATCGTTGAATCTAACCGGAAGAGAAATTTATTCAATCGAATATAATACAGACGATAACAAAAACTTAGCTAATGTTAAAGTAAACATTTTGTTTTTATAAACTGAAGATCTTTAATCCGACTGTTGATTTTCTTCTAGCTTGATAATGGTAAAACATTTTCAATGATAGCTCGTATTGATACAGAAATTGAACGTCTTTACATGCTTCATGGTGGTCTTCTCCCTTACGTACTTCGACAAGCACTCAACTGAATAAATCCAAAAAAACAGCAACAAAAACCCTTCATCCTTATAGAATGACGATAATATATTTTTCTGACATATTTTAAACAAAAACAAAACGTGTGCTAATCGTTGTGCAGGGAAAAATATTGTATCGTTTTTTTTTTCGATTTTTAAAATAAAACATAATATTGGTGGTCACAACTGATTTTTATTTTCTAATGGATACTATTCTTGCAGATAATGGTTATTTTATCACCCGCATTAGAAGATGAATCAATTTTAATAAGAATCAATTGTCGAACGAATTTATTTTATAACGAGGGTATATGAGAGATAAATTGTGAACGTTAACTTTTATTTATTTTAATATTTAAGATATTGATGAAATTTATAGTGGCTTTCGTGCTCTTTTAATTGACAGTGGCTATTATTTAAATGATCCATTAAATGTTTATGTAGTACGGGATACGATCTATGCTAATGATGGAAAATATTCTTTAGAAGATGTTAAGCTTGAGGATTTGCTGGAAACAAATGAGAATGATAGACAAAAAAAAAATGATGCTTATCGACGTATTTATCCATGGCAAATAATAACTGGAAGATTATTACGATATACAACAGGTAATGAATCGTGTTATACACCTGTTCTTGAAAAGTGCAATACAAATAAACAAGGAAAAGGTAATTAGAAATTGTAAGAAGGAAAGAAAATGCTCGTTGTTTTCTTTTTATAGATTTTTCTCTTGCATTCGATCTACTTATTGTTGCTCAGCGATCAACGACAATAGCTGATATACGTCGCCAACTTGACGATCAGCTTACACAACAATTAGATATATTGGAAAATAGCACGAAGAATAAAACTCAAGTAAGTTGTTTATGCTCTATTCTACAGTAATGTAACTAAGATAATAATTCGAATATAATAAAGTTATCGATGACAAAGAAAAGTAACGATTTAGTATACTCCGATCCAGTGGGAAATTCGTTGGCTTGAAAAAGAAAAGCTATTTGTTTAGATATATTCGAGATATGTGGCCTATTCTCTAGAGTATGTAATTCATTAAAATTACGAATAACAGTCAATTATTTAAATACCAATAGGCAAAGTTAGCAAAATTATATTTGAATGATTCGAAAATGCTTAGTCATTTCTGTAGCTTACAGGAATGATTTCAGAAATTAGTTTGACTACTCGGTTATAATTATAGAAAAATATTCACAACTTTTATGTCGATGATAAAATAAATGGACATCGATAAATAAGATTTTTTGTTCTACAAGTATCTTAACAGGTCTTGCTTCGTTCGATGCGTGACCATTAGAATTTTTTTTATATGCAAACTATAATATGAATATCATCGATGGAGTTTAATACTAGAAAGTACTGAAACAAGCCATGATGTTGAGCTAGACAATAGGATAATTTCGTTTTTGTTCAGAGTATAACTTCAAGTATTGGCTTAAAACGAAAGACAGGTTTTTAATAGAATTTAAACTAAGATCTTACATCATCTATGCAATTCCTCGCAATCACCGAAGTAGTTGAATAAATATTTTTCCATGTTTCGTCTATATTTATAGAATGAAATCAATCAGACATTCCGACATTATTATATTAAACCAATCAATCAAATAGTTACATTTCTAGATGGTGAAAAAGATACAGGTAGACTTGTTTCGAATATGATTTTTATTTATTTATGTATTTTTGATATATTTGTTAGTTAGAAGCGAATTTCAAGTAAAATATCCTCAGATATCAATGAATCAACCATTTATTTCAATGGATTTCGGCGATGGACAATTAGCATCTCTAATGACTAGTGGAAGATTATTTGATGTACACAAAGGTCTTTCATCGAGAGGTAAAAATAGTTCGTTTGTGAAAACAATAAATCTCATCGAATTATTTATTGTTTAGTCGAAGATGGCCAACAAACATTAGTCGATGGTCATTATGCATATTATCATTATATGCAAGATAATTTTGATGATAATATGTGGGGTTGTGCTTATCGATCGTTGCAAACTCTTTGTTCTTGGTTTATTCTGCAAGGCTATACAACAAAACCAGTACCGAAACATTCAGAAATTCAACAAGTAGAGAGTTGTGATGAAATTGTATTGAGAGAAAAAGGTTATGTTTCTTATTTAGATTCTAATTGATATTGAAGATAAACCAAAAAAATTTTTAAATTCTCGTCAATGGATTGGCAGTATGGAAGTATCATTTGTTTTACAAAATTATTTGGATGTAAATTTTTAGAATAATACATTTCAAGTATGATTTTCTCTTTTGTTCACTAGGTTGAATGTAAAATTATTCGTGTAGAACGTGGAGCTGATATGATTGAACGTGTACGTGAACTTATGTCTCATTTTAATAAAGAAGGATCTCCAATTATGATCGGTGGAGGTGTTTTAGCTCATACCATATTAGGTGTGGATTTCAATGAATCAACAGGTGATTCAATGTTACTTGTTCTCGATCCACATTATACAGGAGTGGATGATATTAAAACTATACAAGATAAAGTTAGTTATATACTTCGATGAATAGAGAACTTTAAAGATGAAAACACTTCATTATTTTTGTCTTCTCTCTTATCTAGGGTTGGGTTGGTTGGAAACCTTGGTCATTTTGGTCGCAAGATGCTTTTTATAACCTCTGTTGTCCGTTACGACCTAAAATTGTTTCTTCATAATAAATTAATAATAAATATAAGAATAAAAGATCTACAATAGGAATTTTACTCTTGCATACTTTAAAACAGTTTGCATTTTTTTCTGGCTCACCGAAATGAAAAATTAAAAACTAACTTTTCTTTTTAATTTAGTGACGAGAACAGAAAATAAATAAAACAAAACATTATATTGAGATTAATTCATGTTATCATAGTGCTAAAATCACACTAGAATATTGTTGAAAGAAAAAAAAGGTTATAAAATCACTTGAAGTTTCATTTCACTGATTGCCAACGTTACCGACTGCGAACATTCAATTTAAGAATTGGAAGATAACACTATAAGAAAGAGAACATCTTTTGTAGAAAAAATACTCATACAATCAAACAATCCTGACCCATCCAAAACAAAAGAATAACGAATAGACTGACACTCTTTTAGTATCAATAAATATTATCTTAATTCTCACAGGTTTCACCTGAAAAATGTCTAATAAGGATTTATTAATAAATCCTATTCTAATCTTGATAAGATTTATAAATTTTTTATTGGCTGTTTCCAATCGCATTGTTCAATAAAAAATAGAACAGTTATTTTCGAAATTCTACTATCTATGAATATTTATTTGATTCATAAGTATTATTCCCTTTCATCGCGATATTTTCTTCTTCTATGTTAAACAAATAATCTCAACAGAAAAACAACTATCATTATTATGAAACAGTATGGTTACGTATCATCGAAAAGAAACAAAATACATAGAACAAGAGCATCACGCTGATACAGAGAGCAATAGTACGAATACAAATACATGGCTAGCTAATCGTTGATACTAATTATATAACATAACATATATATATATATATATATATATCTATACATATAAGCAATAAAGTATAGATTCACTTCTTTTTTAAGCAAACAGTTACCAAAACTAGAGAATTGTGACAGAAAATACAAAAAATAAATTTGTTATAATTGAATTTTCAGAAAGAAAAAAAATAAGAAATACATGCAGTTAACACATTCCACATGTAATACACACAGTTAAGAAAAACGATTCAACCTAGTATGTTGTTGTTGTTGCTGCTATTATTTTTGTTTTGGTTTCTAGGCTTGAACCGCAATACGATGATCAGCATTGTTGGTTGGATTAGAATTATTATTGCACTTAGCTTGACGAATAGCTTCATTCAATCGATCAACTATACTCATCGCACTTCGACTTGTGTCGACATGGTTTAATTCGGATGATTCTTCCTTTGATTTTTGTTGTTGTTGAAGTAAATTTAATAATTCAAAGCCAGCATCTTTTTCGGATGAAATCAATGAAGATAATGGTGGCGGAGATAAACATGGAGAAGATGGTGCTGATGGCCAAATAGGTAAACGACCCAAAAGTTTATCAATGACTGAATTTCCTGATGATGATAAACGTTTCTCGTCTTCGCTATGCATCGAAATAGACGATGGAGATTGTCTGAATTCTTTTTCTTCCTTATACGGTAAATATTCAAAAATCAAATGTCTAAACAAGATTTTATTATTATTTAGTTGAACATTTATTCATGATTAAACTTACTCAATGAATGGAAGAGCTGTATAATAAGGATCACTTAATCGTTGCTGTTCTTTCCAATATTGTCTTAATGTATGCATTTCATCATTACTTGCATGTAAATTGAACCACATTATATCCTTGAATAGAATATTTATTGACCAAAAATATACATTTATTAATTTTATTCTTACAATAATCTCTCGTCTGTCATATTCAAAATGAACATTTGTTTCATCAAAATTTTCAATCACAAACAATCCCACCATTCGATCATCAGCTAAACGAGCTTCCCAATATTGCGATGGAGACCATGAACTTAAGTCGATGTTAACTTCTTCAGAAAACTAATCAGTAGAAAATGATAATAAGAGAAGATTAATTAAAATATAAAACTAACTTCTCTCAATGCACATGACCATTGACTTTCGAATGTATATGTTTCAGGATTCAGTTTCAGTTTACCTTTTGGGAAACTCCAATAATATTTTTCATTTTGTACCAAGAATACCTATTACAGTACATTTAGGTTAGAAGAAATTTTGAATTCATCAGTTTCTTCTTACTTTATTTTCTTTATTAATTAAAACTATGCCAAATGCTTCTTGTTGAATTTGTCGATAGACATTGACAATCATTCGAATCAAATCAGATTTCCCTTGTAATCTCGGATAAAGTATCTCCATTATATCTTTTTAATAGGAGAGAAAAATAAAAATCGAATTATGATTTTTTTTCGACGAAAAATTACATACGAGTATCAAGAACATATTGTATAAATTTTTTTCGTTTTGAAATTTGTCGTGTATCTTGTGCATAGAACCATTTCTTTTTTATCTGTTCGAGATCAAGAAATAATTTGAATGGATCTCGTGTACCTACTAGACGCAGTATACGATGACTAATTAACAGAAATAAAATCAATCAATGAAATAAATTTATGGTTTAGACCGCCTTTTTTTTACTTAAAATTTAGTTTAATATTATTTGGTTCTGGTTGATGATGCATGATACTCTCCAATAATGCTGGATTGGAAAAAGCAGCAAAATATGGTTGTTGTCGAAACCAACCATTTGAATTTGATGATAAAGATGATGATGAATTAGGTGATTGTGGTTCACTCATTTCGGTTTGTTGCTATGATCCCATAAAATGATGATAACGCGATTGACTGGAGACAGCGTAGTGAACGCGCGAGAAAGAAACAACGATTAAGTAGTGATAAAATAAAAGATGGAAATGAAATGGTGTGCGTTTGTAGTTCGGTCTTAATAGCTACATTTTCTTGCTCGTTCTTTCTCGTCTTTTGTTAATTCGTTTTCTTTCTATTGCTAGTACATGCGTTTAGACAAAGGCTTAAACGCTAAATATGGACGTATGTTGAAAGAAGAAGAAGAAGAAGGCAGATACAGACAATAATAGGAATTCTTTAGCTTTTCTTTTTTAGAAAATCTCATGAGAGAGAAATAAAAGTAATTATTCATTATGTTATTTAAGTATCTATAATATCAAGTTCTTATTTTAAATAGAAACTTTCATGAAATGGTTCTATTGTTTGTTCGAAAAACAATTACGATGGAATGCTACTGAAATATTGTATACTATTATCATGAAATGAATAACAATTGTTTCATTCTCAAGTTATATCAACCATTTCAGTCGCGAGAAAAATATTAAATTATATCTCTTAGGATCTTATTAGGAATATTAAAGAATATTTATTTTTATTATTTTTCTAATGATAGAAGTACCCACACAATATTCAATTCTGTTTTGACTTGCTCACACTCTAGTTGATATAGTACTTTGAGATTAAGAAAAGGACGCGAGCCGATAACGTATCAATTAAAATTTACAAGGATTGAACTGCACGTCTGGCATTCGAAATACACAACTGTAGAAATGTTGAATAAAAACGAATACGCTATTTCATAGTTAATAAAACAAATTTATTTATTGTTATTGCCAATTTCAATTTTTGATTACTGAAGTATTAGAATTGTAGTGTTCATATTCTGATGATTATTTAAAGGTTTTTATTAAAATATTATAGTCTATTAATTCTAAACAATAACTGGAAGTATTTAATTCAATATTTCTACACCGATCTTTGTCTTATTGAAACTCTGTCTCTATATGATTATGATTTTTAGAAAACAATTTATTAAGAAAAAACAATTTTCAATTTGATAGAGGGCACTGGAAGTCGAGTAATGTTCTACACTAAAATAAACCTAAATTGGTAAAAACTTTGCCGAATGTAAAACTTTTTAATAATCCTTGAAAGTTTATCGTTATAGAGTTTTTTTCGGATGAAATATATTTATAAATAGAAAGTTATAAATCTGTCAGTCGTTTTCTTAGCAAACGCTGTTTTCTTTTTATTGGCATGGCTGACTTTTTCTTCATCATCTTATTATTTTTCTTTACGTTTTCGAAGTCTACACTGCTCCTTATGCAGAAAATTTTAAAAAAATTTTGGTTTTCTTTTTAAACTTATTTTCGTTTTACTAATATTTCTCTCGTTTTCGCTTTGGTATTTCTAGAACACTAGCTATTTTTACAGCCGGTGAAAATGGGCGTACCAAGCAATCCATCAGCATCAACAGGAACAGTAGCTAAATGGGATTCTCGGTTCGCTGGTCATGTTCCACATAATTCATCCTATTATTCAAAATGTATTCTTGGTGGTATTCTTGCGTGTGGTCTTACGCACACAGCTATTTGTCCACTCGATGTTACAAAATGTAATATGCAAGTAAGTGGTTTTAAAATAAAATACTATTTATGTAAAAAAGATGAACGAGCATTAAATGAGAAACTTTTCTGAATTTATTTTAGAAAAATCTAAGAATGAATACCTATTACGTCCTCATATTCGTAATTTGTCCTTGAAGTTGCAACCAGCATTAAGAAAAAGAATGCACTTAATAAATTTCTCTGTTCTGTGTACATAGTGAAGTCTGCTGGGTTGTTTTTCTTTCATTAAAAGTACATCTAGGGTAGAAAGGATTAGGTGGAAATTTTCTCCTAGGCAGCGAATGTGACCAAATTCGATTCATAAATGTATCCATCAATGTCTTATTGTCTAACTGTTTTAAATGTATAAAAATTTTGTTTATTTTTCTCAACAGGTCAATCCGGATAAATACAAAGGTTTAGTCAAAGGTCTCCGATTGATTATTGCTGAAGAAGGAAGTCAAGCTATATGGAAAGGTTGGTTACCAACATTTTTTGGTTATTCAGCACAAGGAGCACTCAAATATGGTCTCTACGAGGTGTTCAAAGATCAATATGCTAATATGCTTGGTAAAGATAATTTCGAAAAATACAAAGGTTTGGTTTGGTGTGCAGCATCAGCATCAGCTGAATTCTTTGCTGATCTCGCTTTATGCCCATTTGAAATGGTTAAGGTCAAAGTACAAACAGCACCGCATGGCACATTTCCAGTAGCTTTTGGTCAAGCTTGGTCGCAAATGAATGCTCAACGAGTAGAAACTGGCTTTCCATACCGATCAATTATACCATTATGGTCACGACAAGTACCTTATACAGTAGCAAAATTTTTCTTCTTCGAAAAAGTTAGTTTCTTAAATAAGAATTATTCAGTTTGCATGGAAGAATATTTTAGATCGTACAATTATTCTATACACATATTTTTACACAACCAAAAGATTCATATTCAAAAACAACACAACTCGGTGTTACATTTGCTTCCGGTTATTCAGCTGGTGTTATTTGTGCTATTGTTTCACATCCGGCTGATTCAGTTGTATCTCTTCTTGGTAAACCTGCAAATAAAGGCAAAAGTTTAGGACAAATTATTAATGAAACTGGTTTTGTTAAACTAGCAACCAAGGTTTGCATTGTGTTTATTTGAAATGAGGATACAATTGATTGCTATTTTATTTTATTTTACGTTTTCAGGGTCTTGGCACTCGTATAATTATGATTGGTACATTGACTGGTCTTCAATGGTGGATTTATGATACGTTCAAAACAGCTTTGGGCATGGGAACAACTGGTGGCAAATAATTTAATTCAAATTTTGTTTAAACAAACTGTTTTTCGTTTTTTTTCTCTCTTCTACATCAAACGTCTCATATAAGATGTGATAGAAAATGGTGATCTAAATATGCTTTTCCTGATCTAGTTTTATTTTATTTTCTGTCAACACATAGATTCCTCATTAAGCGAATTAGTTTTAATTGAATCTTCATTTCTTTTTGTTTCTGTTTCTAAAAACATTAACAATTTATATGAAAAATTTAGTAATAGAAATAAACTGAATATTAAATTTATCGAATACATACACTGCTTTTTCGTCGAAGCAAATATGTGAAGCCAATCCGTTTTCTTTTTGCAATAATACACATGATGTTTGCAGAAAACAATCAGTCAGACAGTAAATGTAATATAGACTTACTAAATATTGTTACCGGGATGAGAAATAAAATTTAGAAAAAAAAACAAACTCCATAATATGGTTCACAGGTCATTAAGAACTGCATGATGCACATAGCTCTCATGAAAAACCAATTTATCAATGAAAACATTTTCTTGAAAAAACAAAGCAGACGCGTAGGACATGATCAAATAATACTCGAGAGAGCATTGATGTTTCACAGATACATATCAAGACGTTGAAATTTTGCAGTTACTGACACATTCACATAGATTTTCACCTGCAAAGTAAAAAATCGAGCATTTTCCTAGTTAGAACCGTATAAAGAAATCGGTATTTCCACAAATCTAGTTGCACTTTTTCTAATGTCAAATGACTGTTAGGTTCGACTGAATTGACTTATCAACTTAAAATATATTAAATATCATGAAAAAGTAGCTTATCTGCAATGTTAACTGTCTTCAAACAAAAATCTGTTTTGTAACTCTTCTCAATCATCAGAGAGCATCTATATCTCGGAAATGGTTCATTTGTTAGCAACTAAAACTTCGAATATACTGCTGCATTAGATGCACCTACCTTACGTAGAAATATTACCTGGCCTCGGATTGTAAGTTTTTGAAAATGTAGGAATCAGCACAGGATCAAACTTTTTAAAAATACAGGAAAAGGTGTAAAAAATCGGAAAAAATAGGATATCGAAAATTGGTTGTTTAGATTCGAATTAAACGTTGTTTTAAACTTTTCCTGCGTCAACTTAACATATGCACGAAATTTTTGTCAATATTTCATTTTAATTCTTTCTTAAATTAAATTAAATGAGTCAGACAAAATTTAATTCAATCGAAATATGTTTATTTACATATTAATAAACTAATACAAAATAAATCAGGGTGTGGGTAATGGTTTGTATTGTGTTTATACTCACATCAACCTACACTCACACCGAGTATGAAAATTTTCAAAAATCGTATTTTGAGTTTTTTAACCAAGAAATGTTTTCAAAAAATATCAATGACAGATCGTTAGTTGTAGAATTTCAGTCTTTACAAGCTGGCCTATTTTGTTTTGACTTTCGTAGCTAAGGACAATGTGAACTCTTATACACTTTCTAACTCAATTTACCGTTCATGAGCTTCCATATAGATGTATCAATTTCGTTTTTGTGTATAACGGTTAGCTACAAAGAAAAGACTATTACTAATAAAAATCAAATAACTCTGATCATGTTAAGTGCTTCAAAATTGGTGAAGAAAAACTGTACCTCAGCGTTACTAAAAATGTCACGTTGTTTTATTGCACTTTTCATCTAAGGAAAAATAGCTTGGAGAAAACGATTTTAGTGTTTTAAAGCCTGGTCACAAAGCACTACAAAACTAACTCGAGAAGTGTTTCATTTGGAGAAACAATTGCAGAAGAAACTGAAGCTTATTAGTGGCCCTGAATAAAAGGGTATTTTTATGTCACAGTCCAGCAACCAAAACTCCTCTCTCTATAACCAAGAGACTTAATCCAAAAATGGTCATTTTATGGCATAACCATATCATGACAAGTTGCATCAAATCACGTTTGAACGAACTTTCTAACTCACACAATTTCCAAGATAATGAAAAACAAAGTGTGTCAGAAAAGGTCACAGCGTTACGCTTGAACAAAACCATTTACGTAACTGCATACGATAGACAACAATAAAAGCTTTTAAAAAACACACAACTATTTATAAAGACTATTTTACTTTGTTTGAATATCTTCACTTAAAATAGTCAGTTATTTTCATTTAGTCCGTTTGATAATGTGAAAAGAAATTGTAAATAAAATAGAGTCCTTTCAAAAAAATTCTAAGAATACAAAAGAATCAATAATTATCGAATAGATCTGTTTAAAAAACACGAAAATTATACTAAAACAAGAGCGGTTTTTAGCAATTTTCTACTTTTTTTCATTTTTATAGGAAATACAGGAAAATTCATCGAAATACAGGAGAAAAAATAGGAATTTTTTTAAATATAGGAAATATAGGACGAATCCGAGGCCAGAATATTACTCGAATTTGAACGATCAATTGAACAATACCAGCTTAAAATTCATTCTGAAAATGACAACATGTTTACATTATAGAAATTAGCGTGAGATTTGTATGTTCAATTTAGAGTTCCAAGAATCAAAAGCATTTACGACTACGTGGAAAATATCATTTAATAAAGTTATTTTTAATTTTAAAAATAATTATATAGAATTGCGTGGGCCTGTTCGAAAGAGAATTCGCGTAATGAAATTTTTTTCTATGCTCATTTATCAACAATACAAATTTGTTTTGTATTAACAATAAAAAACGTGATCGTGAACAGTTATCATTATTAATATTCTTTTATTATTATTTTTCTCCGACCAAATTCAATAAATACTAGATAATTTCATTTAATTAAACTGTGTATAACACAATAAGAATGAATGTTGAAAATCAAGCTTCAAATGATATTCCAATTGTACGATTAAAACTAGGTCGGTCACTTATGATTGCTGACTCCGTCGCAATTACTATCGGAACAATTTTAGTATTTTATGTATAGTTAAATATTTAAGAGAAGCTCATTTACGAACTCACTCTACATATATCGTAAGTAACATAGGATTGAAAAACATAATATATATTAATAGTTAATTTTAGTTTTATTTTATGTTAATCTATTGGTTAATTTCATCATTAATTAGAGCACCTATTTTTTTAATTGGGGATTACTTACAAGTATTTTCCTATTATATAGATATTTGTGAAGTATCAGCTATTCATTAATTAACGATAAATATTGGTATGATAACATCGCTATTATATACAAGTATTGAAAGACTTTTTTTACTATTTCATAAAACTGGTTTATTAACATGGTATCGTCAATTATTACAAGTTATGTGATTCCATGGCTTTTAATAATTTCTTTTTGTACCGCAATTAGTTATGATTATAGGAACAATTTGTTTATTGTATTGTTTATCTCAACAGAAAGCAATGTTACATCGACAACCACAATAGCCTGTCTTGAAAAAAATTGGAATACAAATGAGTATTTATGTTATTTGGTGATGGCTTTGTTACTGTCCAACATCATTTTACAATTCAAGTATTGTTATTGATCGTTCTCGTTTTGTATCAGAACTTAAAATATTCATGGATATTACGAACACAATGACGTTACAAAAATATCCAGTATTAACGTTTACCTCAATGATACTATTTACACGATGTAGGCAAACAACCGAATTTCAAATTGCATAGCATAACGGCAATAATCGCTCCTTCTAGTGACGTACCCCCTTGTGAAGGTTAAGAAAATAGAAAACAGTTTTATCGAAAATCGAATATTGTTAATCGGTATATCTAACGCGTATGTCCTTTTGTGTATTTTACGACTCAAAAATCTATTGATTGATTACGGATTTCATTAGAAACTGATGCTGAAGCATGTGCTCTTAGAAATATATCTATATTCATACGCATCATTAGCCTCTGTTTTGTCAATATTCAGCATTTTTCAAAACATTATATTTTGTTATTGATTTCGAAATGATAATATAGAATGACTAATACTTGTGCCTTGAATGATACTATTGGTATAAAGAGGCAGTCTACATTGATAATGTAGTAAACGAGAAAAATAATATGCTCGTATTTTATCGAGTAACCTTTGTTTGATAGAAATCAACGAATAAAGCGAAACTCTCCACCAAGTTTCCAGGTGAATATGTGATAGTTTTACTTGTATCTGATACAAGCTGCATTTCAGTGGAACAATTTCACTATATTACTTTGCTATGTTAATTATTCAAAGCAGTGCATATAGTAGATTTGGCATATCGGGATCAGAAAGCAATCGTAAACATGGTCGAGAATGAAAAAGAAATTCTGGTAATATTTTTTTTTAATGAAAAATGAAATTTAAAAAAACATGTACTGATTCATAGAAAAATTTTGCATTCCCTAATCAACTCTTCCTAGAAGAATCCCCAGGGAGTCCCCTGGCGAATCCCCGGGGATTTCATTATTTTGCGGGGAGTCGTCGGGGGAGAGTGGACCAGGGTTATGATTGTGTTGTTTCAAGGCGATATTTTAGTATTCATTCGAAACACTTATATAAACTCATTTACTTTTTTGAGTGCTCCTAAAAATGAAATAATTTCGTTTATGTTAACGTTCTAGTTTATTCAATTATTTATTGAAGATAAATGATTTGGAAAGATATTAAAATATTTATTTGTAAACGTAGAGAAATTTTCCAATAGATGATATTCCTGTTGAACATCTTACATTTCTCTATATGCAAGATCAGCCATGAAAATTACCATAGTGAAGTAAAACTAATATATCTTTGCAAAATAGTTGACCGCATTATTTCGAATGAAAGATTTTACTTCATCGTGTGCTTGAAATTAGAAATAAAATATTCCACTGGATGAAATAGTCGATGAAGTTGAAATAATAAACGAAAAAGAAACCGACGAAAATGTTTACTTCATATATAATTTACTGGAGCTACTAGAAAAAATACGATATACATGAGGGCAATATAGTTTCATGCGTAGTTCATAATATGACATAGCTGGGGTTTCGTTTTTTTTCTTGTTTGCATTGCTTGAAACTCTTTCTATGAAATCTATCATTTTGAATACGTAAAAATTCTGCACTCTGTGTCGCCCTCTCGATCTTTCAATTGCATACATATAAATAGAAGAGGTATGTATGATTCATGGTCGGTTGCTTTTGCATACGCATGCCAACATACTAGACACCTTCAATACAACGTTATTTTACATATCTTTCTTTTCTCTTTTTACTTCGATTGTCGTTCTCACAACCTATCAAAATCTACCACTATGCTTTAACATAAGTGTCATGTTCTTAAATACAAACTTATTCTCATTTTTCTTTCTTTCATTCTGGTGTTTTTCTCTTTCAGGTCAACTTCTGAATAAATCGAGTGTCATTGATTGAATTAAATTTTACTTTCTTTGTATGTTTTTTTCTATCATAGTTATTCGCCAGAAATCCTACGATTAATGAATGAATCATAAATTGTTTTCGTATCTGTTTAAAATCGTAAGATGAACAATAATGTTATCGATGGATTGATCGATCACACACCATTACGAGTCATCTGAATATTATATGATAATTTCCCGTGGAATACATTTTGTCCAGCGCTTGAATAAAATAGTGCCTATCATGCTGACATTAAAAGATGATCCATAAGTATTTTTATTTGTCGAACTGGGCTGTATGAAATACTTATGGATCTTTTAAAACACCTTCTTTGAATAGCCTAACAATATAGTTTATATCATTTTCCATGCTAAATAAAACGTTAAATATGAAACCAATATTGATTCTAAACAGAGAAATTTCTTGACACAAAAATATCCTTATCATCAGTTTTCTGTTAACTATCAGAGATTTCGTAATCAATGTGATAATTTCTGTAATTTTTATTGACATAACGATATAAGATAATCAAGTTCTCATTAACTTCGAAGAACATAGCCTCGATATTGGTATTGTCAAAACATTTGCCAACAAAACCTAAACACATATTTTCTGCAAAAGTAATAAGAACAATCAACAGTATCGAGTCAATTTCACATAGGATACCGCCATATTCTCAATATCAGTTATAATCGATTATGTTCATCTGAACTTTATTTTCAAAACTTTTGCTTGTAGCTCCCTAACTAGAAGCCTCCTCAATATTCAGACTTTCACTAAATCTTTGATACTCTGCTGATCAATTCAGTCAGTCGAAATATGACCCGTCTAAAACCTTTTTCAACTCAGAGTTTCTCGCGCATACTAGCTACAATTTGCTATTGAATATGTGTTCTGAAACCATTATTCACACCCTCGAATCGAATTTCAAACTAGGTCTAATCTCTCGTCATTTATGAAACTAGTCATATTTTCAATGTTATTTATTTGGTGACGTGATTTTCGAGCTGTTCGTTAGCCTGTCCTCTTTCTACTTTCTTCTTTTCTTTTGTCGTGCTATATCGCTAACGGACAGAACGTCGTGCAATGTCGAAATATAAATACGTAAATAGCCCATCATTTTTCTTTTCGCATAGAATAAGCACATGGGCCGAAGCACAATCATACCAAGAAAATTTACAAGTGAATCGCCATGCATCATTGTCTTTTTTATTTTAGCTTTAATTTTTTCTTTAGATATATTAAGTATAAAAACATGTGCAAAGCAAAACTGTAAAGTAATTCCATTAAAACATTCCAATAACAACATTAACTAATGGTTCTATCAAACATACCTGTGGCAATGTCAAAACTAATAGTTTCAATGTTGTTTTCATTTTGAAAAGGTCGAATACCTCTGCATGCATCAACATGTTGGTACAGTAGATAAAACGAAGACACGACAAATGAAACGTTTCTTTTTCTCATTATTTCTTCTCTTTCACTCAGTGCACATTTTTTTCTCTGAAGTCGTACGTACACATGTGCACTTGTCTTGGACGTCCCGCTTTATATAATAATGTCAATAATCATACTACTACAGTCGGCAAATAAAAGAAATAAAGCAAGTCGATTTCAATGAGAGAAAAAAACTTCTACTAAGCATTGTTCAAAATTCTTTTACCACCAACATTTTTTTTTCACAATTTAGAAGAATTTTTTTTTCGTGTTTATTGGTAGTTCTTTAAAAATGAGTTGAGAATAAACGATAGGTATATACATTCTTTGAATTTTATTTATTTTTCAAGTACGATGTTATATTTGAAAAAAGAATAAGATGAATGATTCATTGATCGATAGCTTAATATTTGTAAGATATCATGAAGGGGTCATACTACGATTGTATATGCACTCGATTTAAGATAAAAATAGCAGCAAAAAATATTACATGCGTTTTTCGTATTATTTTAAATATGAAAAATAAAATACTATCCTTGATGCGAAATAGTATTTTACTAGGAGTATGGGTTGACTTCATCGATTTGGTAGAATAAAGTCGTACGGTTGAGATATTCTTCGTTTTTTTGTAAATTATTTACATAGTACTCAAATTAGACATTGAATATATTTTTATAATTGAATAGTACTTGATAAAAAAAATATTTGTTTTAATTGAAGCTGATCACTTGCTTTTTCTATTTAATTGATTTATTATTGTTTGTCCTTCGATGTCCTGGGAACAAAGTTTGACGGCTCATAGGTATGACGAGAAATAATGGCATGCCCTTTTTGCCTCGATGGTACGCTCTATTGAATAACGATGTTGATACGAAATTTTAAGGGAGTTGATCATTTGAAATGTTGAAATCAAAGAAAAGAAACACAAATAAGGCGCTCGTTCACTTATTAGACTCTCAGTCTTAGAAATCATCTTTATATAAATTCTCTTCATAATAAAAAAAAACACCCATTCTTAACCTCTCTCTCTCTCTCTCTCTCTTTCTCATTATTATAGATGTCTGACAGCATATCTTCTTATTCTTCACTTTGTGCCCAACTGAGTATAATTGTTGATTTATCATCTTCATCATTCGATTTTAAACAGCTATATAGCCATCTATCATCACAGTCACCGCCTAATACTGATCACCATCACTGGTACTTCGGCGGTCTTCGTTCTTATACAATCCCATTTGAATTTAATCACGATGAAATAACCATTAATCATGTTATATCAAAATTAAAATTATTACAAAATCATTTATCTATATTACCGCCATTTTGGATATCATATAAAAAATGTCAACCACTACAACAACAACCAGTCCCATTTACACCAGCAACAACACCAGAGGTTATTCGCAAAAATATTAAATTAGGAAAGTTTTATGCTAACAATGGTTTCGATATCGAATATACTGGAGGTGCACTTGTTGGTATAGATAAATATATATGGGATATACCAACACAAATAAAGGATCCATGGCGTCTAGTTTTTTATCATGATAAAATTGAAATTGATTATGGTTCTAAAGAAAAAAGACTGCGGAAAACACTTAAAGCCGAAATTATGGATAGATGTGCTGTTATAATGACGCAAACCGATGGTTTTACACTATTTATTAATATGAATGGAAATCCTATTGATCATGAAGCTGTTAATTCAACAAAGTCTCTCAATATTAATGATGATGGTAAAAGGTCGAACTAACAAAATAGAGAAAATTTTAATTGATCATTTTTTTTTCTATGTAGAAATCGATCCTATATTACGTAAAATAGCTGAATCAAATATGTCATATACTCGTACTGCACCTCGAGAATCACAACCGTTCTATTCAACGATTCGTCTATCTATTTCGCTTTCAAATTCATTCGATTATAATAACATGATAACGAATACTACTGATGAACATCGTTCTGAACAATTACAACGTTTAAATTCATGTTACACACAGTTTATTGATTTTTTTCATCGCAATCATATATATGATTGTTTTGGTATTATAATAAGTATACCATCATCTATAGATTTTTCTTCTATATCATCACTATTTATGTCGAATGAAACAACATCATTTGTTAAACAGTATTGTTGGCAAATGTTAATGTCTATTGGATATCGTTTTCAACAACGGTTAACAGCAGATTTTATTCAACAAATGAATTCTATTGGAGATGATGATGAATTTTATCAGGTAATTTCTTAAATGAATAAGTAAGAAACGAACCACCAATATGTTTGTTTGGTTAAAGAAATGTAAATTTCGTATTTACTTAAAAGATTATAAAATGATAAATATTTTCTGATTTTTGACAACTTATGTAAACTCAAAGATTTTAATCTATATTATTATATTTTCATTAAGAGATAAAATAAGTGATTAATAAAGCTTAATTAATATTGACATTGGACTTGAAAATCTATCTTCATTCATCTAAAATCATCATGTTTCATCATTTTAATATAACTTTTGATTAAAGTTTGACTTTCAAAAAAAAAGAATAAATATTTGCTTGGCAAACTTTTGACTCCGTTCGTTATTTATGTGCATGCTACCACAATCGAAGCCCGTAGCGGTTTTACACAACATTCAATTTGTATAATTTTATATCGGTTTTTCTTGTCAAAAATCGAGTGTTTTTTAGCGTGTTTTCCATTTTTGAAAGACAATATTAGATACCATTATCACAGGTTTTATTATCTAGGCATCACTTCATATATGGCGTCGTTCAAGTGAATATTATTTTATTGATTTACTCGGTGAATTACGTCGTTATCGAGAAAAAATCGTTGCACAAACAGTATTTCTACCTTCGCCACCCTCGTATTCAATTAATAATCATCGTCAACAAGGTATGAAAAATGATGACAGTCAACAAGAACGTTGGAGTATTCGTACACCACCTCGCAATTATGCTTATGTACCATCCGTAACATTAACGCCAACAACAATATGTGTGAATCCATTTAAATTAGTTAAAACAAATCGAGTTTTACGTGAATCGAAATTTGGTGGAAATCTTATGTTTGCTCTTGTTGATGTTAAAGATGAAAATGGTACAATGGATCTATTTCCTCATGATTGTATGTTTTAACGAAAATATGAAATTTCCTAGTTAATAAAATGTTTTATTTTTCATTCTAGATCGTGCTTTACGTTGGAAAACTGAAATGCTACTTGAATCAGGTTTTGATTTAGGTACAAAAGGTCGAACATATCGTTATTTACATCATTCACAATCACAATTAAAAGATAAACAATTTTGGTTTTATCATAATGATGGTGAAACGAATTTTTCATTTGAAGAGGCATTTGCTTGGATGGGAGATTTTCAAGAAGAACGAATTGTTGCTAAACATGCCGCACGCATTGCACAATGTTTTACAAGTGCTGAAGCAACTATTCAAGTAGAAAACTAAATTATTATATCGTGATTAAGTTTTAAATTATTCTTTACAGATTCCATCAGAAAAAGTTGAATATATTGAGGATATTCATACAGATGATAATAAATATAATTTTACTGATGGCGTTGGAACGATGTCAACTACTATACGTGACAATGTAAGCAAATAATTTCTTCTTAATCATTCATTGTTATCTTAGTCATATTTGACTGATGTGTAGTCAGTCATGTGAAGAATGATTTTATTTTCGATATAAAATCGAAAGAACACGATCTTCATTTTAAAAGCTTCATTAGAACTAATAACCAGCCACGAAGTATTCCACGGGTGCTCTTTTTTGAATAATTTTCGGTCGGTAAAAAATAGGCAACTGTAGTTTTTGCTATAGCCTTGCTTTTAGGCAAGTTCTTAATGCAATAGATCTCGATGAGTTCGACTCGGTGTCAAAACTAAACGATTCCATATGATAAAAATGAAATGAAAGTTAACGATACTGGAAATCTAAATGCTGAATTTAAACTCGATAATAGTCGTCTTTGTAATTGTCTACTCTGAACGAATTGTTCCTTTCAAAAAACTGCCTAAATTAAGTATACTTCCAGAGCTGATGAGATAAAGTCAATTGAGTTGTTTTGATAAAAGCTTCAATTTTGATAGATCATTTACTGATGAAACTCGTCCTAGAGAAATAAAAGATGACCCAATGAAAATAAAAATCTTAGCACATCATATTCACTCAACATTTGAACACTTAAAGGCCATTATTAAAAGTCAATACAGAAAATTATTTTTGTATTTCAATGATGTTATCTAATGCATCGAGATAGAAAAGAGATTTTGCCTAAGATGAAATCATTCGAAAGAAAATCTATGTATCAATTATAAAAACTTGAAAAGCAAACATTATTTATAGAAAATCTGTTTTGTTTTTTTGTTCGCCTATAGATTAATCCATATCGACAATTCTCAGCAATTCAAATTCGTTATGGTGGCTGTAAAGGTGTTATATCTGTAAATCCTGATTTAGATAATTCACCACATCAACTACGTATTCGTCAGTCGATGAGAAAATTCAAATGTTCACACGATATATTGGAATTATGTCGCATTTCTAAACCACGTAAAATAACTTTTTTCTAATATATTGTCATTGCTTAACTTGATTATGTATGTCATTATTATTAAATTTGTTTTCTTTTCTTTATCTATGTTTAGGTCCACTCTATTTAAATCGACAAATCATTGTTTTACTTTCACATCGTGAGATTGATGATCGTACATTTCTTTTATTACAACATCAACACCAGCAAAACTTATCAGAATCACTTGTTTATCCAGCACGTGCCTACGAATTATTAGCAGAAAAAATCAATCGAAGTTTATTTCCATTGCGTACATTAATTAATGATGCACATTTAAATCTAATTCAAGAGCCATTCTTTCGTCAATTAATAATAACAACAAGTAAATTCGAGCTTGCACAAATGCGTGAACGTACACGTTTGAAATTACCAAAAAATTCAGCTAGAAATATGATTGGTATTGTTGATGAATATGGAGTTTTAGAATATGGACAAGGTAAAACTATAAATAGATAAATTCGAAAAGCTCAATTCATAATTTTCTCTTATTGTTAGTGTTTGTTCAATATACAGAATTACATGGCGAAACATTAGATGATGAGTTAGGTTCCAGCAATGATTCATCGGTAACACCACAACCAGAAAAAGCTGTGATACTTGAACAAAAAGTTGTTGTTACAAAAAATCCGTGTCATCATCCAGGAGATATTCGAATTTTTGAAGCTGTTGACGTACCTCGTTTACGACACTTAAAAGATGTAATCGTTTTTCCACAACGTGGTAAACGACCTCATCCGAATGAAATATCTGGTTCTGATCTTGATGGTAAACAAAACAATTAGATTGCTCTCATTTTTGATTTTAATCATTTTATTTATTTTTAACTAGGCGATGAATATGCTGTTTTATGGCATCCAGCATTTATTCCAAAAACACCCAATAATACACCCTTTGATTATGATTCTCAAACGCCTATGTTACGCGTTGTTGATCGTCCTGTTAGCCGAGCAGATATTCAAGCAACTGTATTAGATATTAGTGAACAATCATGTGTGGGAAAACTATGTTCACTTCATTTAGCTAATTCCGATCTTCATGGTGTTGCACACCCAAAAACATTAGCTATTGCTGGATATATTTCAGAAGAATTAGATGCAGCAAAAACTGGACAACATCCGTTAACACCAAAACAAATTACCCATTTACAATCTGAATTAGGAAATGAACGTCCAGATTATTTCGATAAACCATATTATAAACTTTATCCATCGAAACATATTCTTGGTAAGTAATTAGATACGAGTTCAATCATATTGACTTGAGACAATAGTTAAAAATCGATTTAGTAATATTCAATTTTGATACATGTCTGTTATCACTAGATAAATGATATACTAAAATTTTGAGGGTAGCATTAATAAAAATAAGTTTATTATCTTAAAATGATATTTTATTAATTAGGTCAATTATTTCGTTCATGTCTTCGTTTTGAACCAAACTGGACAATAATTCAAACTCCACCAACAACAGTTAGTTCAACACCTGTCGATCCATTACTAGTTCATGATTTACATGTTGAATATACAACATCTGTTGAAGAAATCGCTCGTATCTATCGTGAAGCTATTATGGATATTATGTATGTCTATCGTTTTTCATCCGATGTTGATTTACTTTGTCGATTTGATTCATCATCATCACAACATAAAACACCAGTAACAAAACAACAAACGGATTCAGCTTGTCTTATTGCTGATTCGGCACAAGTTGAATTAAAACAATTGATACGACGTGTACGACGTTTATTTTATCATGAATTTCGTTTCTGTGATAAAACACATTCAGTTCGTTGTCAAACTAATTGTATAAAATGTGCAGATAAAAAAATGGCTAAAGCAAGTGCACTCTACATACTATGTTATACAGATACACGTCATGCACGACGGATGCTAAGTTTACCATGGCTATTTGCCTCATTATTAATAGAAACAAGAAAATTAAATATAAAAAAGCAAACAAAATTATGTAAGTTTAATAATTGATTCTTTTTTTTTTCAAAATAAAATTTCTCACAATTATCTTTTAATTTCTTCTAGTATCACCAAAACTCGTTGCTCAAATGCTTGAAATTCAACCATATCAATTAATTGGTCAATCATTAAGACGTGCATTACAACATTTGTTTGACCAATCAAAACCATTTTATTTTCATCATTCATGCTCACATGATAATTCAAATTTAATAACTGTTTCACTTGGACCAACATCAACAGCTAAACGTCTGTTATTAAAGCGTCAGATACTATTATTAGATTATTTTATTCTGGAAATTATTCATCATTTTGTTTATGAATCTCTATCAAAAGAACGTTCACCAATAACAGCCGCAAAGCCGTCACTTCTTGAATCCGTTTGGCAACATATAATAACACGTTTTATTCTTGGTGAATGCTCACCATTAGTGCTTATAACATCAAAGTCGACTACTGTTTCAATTAATAAAGATTTTCAATGTTGGTCGGATGAACAAGCATGTAAAACATTACAACGCGTAATTGATATAAGTGTTCAATGTGCTGAACATGGACCAGATTCAACTGATTACGCACATGCTAATGAATATTTAGTTTCAACACTACAACAAATGGCTACAACTGGTTCTTTATTTTCGACATAGAAACGAAGAAAAGAAAAACTTATTTGATGTAAGCACGTTTTGCTTTCGAAGCCCAGTGATATATGTATATACATATATTTATCTTTTCTACTGACGCCAACTATTTATGTAGCTGGAAAAGTCGATTTCCGGCTGTGATGATATATTTTCATGCGTTGTTCTTTATTTTTCGTTTGTTTTCGTTTTTGCTGCCATGGATGGCACTTACATTTTTTTTAGAAATGTGTGTGTCATTTTTATTTTCTTTTTGCCTAGAAAAGTTGTGAAAAACAGAGCCTAAAAAAAGTAGACTGTAGACTAAAAAAAATACATATAGATTTGAAAAACGAGCAAAATTGTTTTTTCTACATCAATACGACGGATAAATAAGCTTAACATTGAACGTCGAAAAAAAAAGCAATAGAGCTATATCTTTACCTAAGAGTTGTTTACTATTCTATTCTATATTGATTTACAATCTAGGATTAAAAAAGAAAGATAATATCTATAGGAACTATTCTTGCTCTTATCATCTTTTTGGATTTGTTATAACATTATTTTAATTTTTCATATTTTGATCAGTTCAGTAGAAAAAAACATTTTCACTTTATCAAGAAAACCGATACACCAACATTATCATTACGCCGTTGCATTGATAATATTTATTTTTCTTTGTGTTGATAACTTCTATCTACTCGTTATTTTGTTGGTTCCTAGTCATTGAATCATGAACTACTCATCCATCAATGCTTTTGCTTGTTCCTCTGATATAACTTGATTAGAGCCGTCTAAAATTAAATCTCAGCGACAGCACAAAATATGGAAAAGAAAATATATGTGTATGCTAATCAGTATTCTAAAAATAACTACCAGGAATCTCGCTAGATCAAAAACTATGTAGCTAAGTACGAGAGTAAAATAATAAATAAAAGAGCACGTAGAATATTACAAGAATAACTGGCCTAGACAAAAAATAAATGAATACCATCGAAACCTTTTACAGACATATTTATTCGTGAATAATATATTTTTCTACAAATTTAAACATTTAAATTGCTAACTAAATGGCTATGAAAACGTATATTTAAATTGTTAACTGAATAATTGTAATGACAAATGAATTTATTCTTCTTCCTCTTCCTTTTCTTCTTCTTCTTCTTCTTCTTTTTCTTCTTCTTCATCTCCTTTTGCCTTGTTATTGTCTCCATGCGGTGGCGCTACAGGATTTGATGGATTACTGGGACTACCTTCGTCGGTTTTTGTTAACATCCACAATTGACGACTACCAACTTTTGATTGACTCATTACAGTAAAACCAACTTTTTTTAATGTTTCCAGAATATGTGCTGGTGGATCAGAACATTGAACACCTTTTTCATGATCACATAATTTCTCATTTGTACATGATTCTTGTAAGACTCGGATAAGTTCCGGTTGTATACGATAATTTTTAACACCAGTACTATGAACTAGTGTTGGTCCTGATCTTTCTTCCGATGCTTCACATGATATTGTTAACGTAGTATGCATTGCCAACGCCATAATTCTTCTAGGTTAATCGAACGAACTGTTTACAAGAGAGAAAAAAAGATAAAACTATGAGACTTAGTAAACAGAATGCTTTCTACCTATATAGCTATATATATTTATGAAAGAGAAGGCCTTGAAAATAAGTATGCGTTGTACTATGTGATTTGAATATATATGTCTCTTTGCGTGAGAGAGAACGACAAATCATACCATCGATCTAGTATATAAAAGCGACAAAAAAAAGAGCATAGTAATAAGCAATGCAGAAAAAAAAGAACCAGGATAAGAAAAACAACAGTGCGACTCTTTTTAATTATATGCCTGAATAAGTAATCAACGTGTATAGAAAGAAACATTTTTTTTATTTTGAAATTTGATGAATCGAATCTTGATTTCCCAAAATTAGCTATATTTTCAACATTGATTTCTCTCCATAGATAATTCGATAGAAATTTATCCAGGCTTTGAATAGGAGTAAACATTTCTCAGTAAACGTGAGAGTAAAGAACGATATTTTTTCGACATCAATGAAGCATGTCGAAGATTGTTTATCTAAAACAATAAAAATACTTGAAGGAAACTACTGATTGAACACACATATGTAAATATTTATCTATTTAAAATCGTCAAGAATAAAAATACAATTTTATTTTTAATACACCATTAGCCGCCATACATATGTTGACATACAAAAAATACAATAATATATTTTTTATGATTATTGTATCATTAAAAATATTGCTAGAAAACTAATTGTATTATTCTACACATTCTTCTTGTATGGTCATCATTTGAAACCATTGAAGCAATCGTTTCTGTATCGTCTTTCTCTCATTACTCTCATAAGAAACCATTTTTGCAACGACATGAAAGAAATTGATTATTTCATTTTGGTAAATGATCGATAGTGAAATGTCATATTTCTAGTCCATTATGATTCGATGTCAAAAACATCATTTTGGGATGTAATATTTTCGTTCCTATTGAGGATAGAAATCTTTTATACTTTCTCTTTATTAATTAACAATGGCTGTATGAATCACGTACTCGAAGAGGTTTTGTGTTTACAAACGAGTACATTTCATAGCAAATATGTTTAATGTAGATCGAGGAGCTCGATAAAAATCTTGCCCAAGTTCAATCTGAATCACTATGTTTTAATGCTCAAACTTTTTCAGTTGATCCATAGAACGACTTCTAAATGTAATATCTAGATGATTTAATGGTGTTTTTTTGTTTTCTGATGCATACTTATTTAATACACATTGAATTTCTCAGTCAATTTTGTTCTTCTTGGCAGCCTATATCATAATCGTAACTTGATAAAGCAACAACAACAACAACAACAACAATTATTATTATCTATAATGAGATGCACCAGAATATGGACGATTTTGTTTTTATTAAGTAAAATTACAGAATAAAACACTTTTAACACGATACGATTTACAGAGCCAATCAGCACATCATCCCTCAAGATAACATGAAATGATTTTTTTCATCGATCCAAAACAATTTTAAATGTCAAATACTCTCATGAATCAGACCCGATAAATTTATTTTAGTTTTCGAAATGCAAAGCACCAGTGTGTTTAGTATATAAAAAGAAAAAGAGATGAATTTCATACGTTCATGCGTGCCTCTAAAATTACTTGTATTCAATTCGAACGTGAACAAAATCTCTTTTCTCCTAATCTATATAAATATTACATAGAATGTTCAAAACCTATGTATTTATTTTCGAATTCGTGTCTCTTTGTAATATGATATTGTTTTGATAGAAAGTAGTTGCGTGCCTATTTGATCTGTAAAGTGCACATAAGAATAAAACTGAATCATACTGTGTCTTTTTAATTAATTGCAGTGATCTAGAATATTTTATTTTTTTGCTAAATCAAAAAGCGAAAAAAACCAACAAATAGTGCTTATAAGGAATCTTTGACAAAGATAATTGTGAAATTACTAAAACGAACACTATAATGATTTAGAAAAAAAAACCGAGAAGACATAAAAGAGTATTTACATGGAGATTTCAGAAAATTCGAAAAAAATAAAATAAAATGGATGAGATAAAATAGGAATAGATTCATTTGTTCGGATTCTTCTTTATCACAAACTGTCCTGTTTTGTAAGTTTACTTTTCTCTAACACACTTCACAGACAGAACAATTCTAAATTGCAGTTGAGTTTGACTGAATAAAACAAAAATGAAATTTGATCATAATTTTAATTTTGATTTTGTAATAATTCTAATGATCGCGTGTCCAGAAAATGTTTTGGATTTATTGTTAACATTAGTATATTGAGAATAATATTAATTAAGGCTATAATTCCAATAATAGCTAATGCAGCAATATTGTATAGAGCTAGTTTAGTTTGTGATTGCCGTTTTGTAATATCGCCTTTGCCAAGAATATATAGGATAACAGCTAAACCACATTGAAATATAATCGATACGCAAACAAATACAAGAGATGCAGTCCAAATTTGATCGCGTTGTTTTTGTAATATTAATGTTCGCATTTGCATGGCATTGCTTGCTAATGAAATTTTATTTTTATTAAAATCATTTTATTTGAAAACTTGACTTACTCAATAAAGCAATCAAGAAAAAGACTTGCCCTATGAAATAAATGAATAGATAGAGAGAACAAGGCAATTCAAATAATTTACCAATCGTCTTCTTGCTTGCATAGCCATTATAATTATATGTATATTCATTCTATGAAAAACAAAAAAAAGACATACAAACAAATGTAGTATAAGTAAGATTAAGAAAGTCATTCGAAACTTTTTGACATTTAATTTAAGAAATAATAAGTAAAGTAAAGATGTGGACAGGGCGATATAACTCCTTGCTCAACAACAACAATTTATTGTGTAAATGTCATATGTACGACTTGTTAGTCAATAAGTCATGTTTTATACATTCGAACTAGCACGAAAAAGCAAAGCTACAATGACACGACGACTAACTTCAACTTGTAAAATGAAAGCGCTTCAAATCATATTATGTCTACGCGTATAAAATGCTATCACTTGAACACCGAGTTTTTCTCATATTTTCTAAAAATTGATCCGCACAAATATCTATTTTTCATTCAGAGAAAATAAACATCACTTTTTCGACTTCTATTTATTTAATACCAACATTATATTCATCATTTCGTTTTATAATGTTTGATTGACATCAATTATATTTTAAATCTTATAAGTGGTATGCATATGACCGAGACAAGAAGACAGTAATGCTTTCATTTTATGCATTAAAAAAAACGCACAGTACAAACTCATCAAGGTTAATCACAACTACCATAGTTATATGTACACATAATAATATCAATCTAATGATTCAATTATGTATTTTATCATATATAATAAATTTTATCCGCATAATCACAATATACCAGTTCAAGAAGAATTTTTATGAAAATAACAATGCAACTACTTGAAAACTTACATTATTATCATCATCAGTATGTTCCTCATTATCATCCTAAGAATGAGCAAATTCAAGCAATAGTTTGTTATGTTTAGTAGCCAAAACAAATAAATTATATATCATAGTAATGAGTGAATAAACTTTTTTTAAATCTTACCCTTCTTGATTCAGCATCGATAACAGGTGTACGATATGATGGCTCATCATTACGTTTTGGTGCTACAGGTTTTTCTAAAAGGGTATCACTCTGTGACTGTTGAGTTAAGTCAAATCGAGCAGGTACTGCTGGAGGAGGACCATTCGAAACTGCTGGATACTGAACTGGTGCAGATGGCGTCTGATGATAGACATACGTTGTCATATTTTCTAAATTTGATCTAACTATGAAGACAAAAATATATAAATAAATGAACTGTTTATTATATATATAATATATGTTTGAAGAAAAACCAAATGATCAAAAGCGTCTAGCGATGAATAACGCAAACAATACGTCATTTATTTTCTCATTTTTTCTTTTCCTTTCTTGTTCATTTTTTTTCAATCTCTCTCGCTCTCTCTACTTTTCTGACTCCTACATGAGTGCGAATCGTGTGTATGCCAAGGCTATTTTGTAATATGTAGCCATATCAGTTGCCTCGTTTTTTTTCTCTTCCTAACAAATCAAAACAATCAATCTATTACGATGAGTAAGAAAAAAAACTCGAGTCAACTTACTCACGCGAGAATCGTATAGTATGACAGTACGTATTTGCAAATTGAAATGAAATGTTTATCGAGAGATATAGTCAGCTTTTTATAATTTCAATACAAAAACACAACTATAAAAGATGCTGGGTCAAAAAATTCGGAAGTAAGCAAGAGAATGAATAACCAAAGAAACGAAAGACTGCTTTTGTTATTGATAGAGAGACGTCAACGTTAGCGGATAAGTCTTTTCTCTCTCTCTCTCTCTCTCTTATGCTTTTCTCTTCTTTACGGCGACATACGTGTTTACTCGATTGAATATTAAATTTCTTTTTTTACGCACACCAACAAACTATTTCTTTTTCTTCTTGTGTGCGTGGATGGATGTCTACATATTATCTTCGACATGCGACTGTAAACAGGATAGATTGATTCTTGATCATATAACATTATGGACTATGTCTAATCAGTCGATGATATTACCGACAAATAAAGGTCATTTCATAAAAGAAATGGTAAATAATAGAAAACTTCCGAGAAACAAAATTAGTAATACATTTATTTCTCTTGAAGATAGAAAAAAAAACTCATATATGACGTAACTATCAATTATTTAGATATCTCTGTTTTTATGAAACCAGCTTTTTAACGTAAAGTTACACTCAACAAGTAACTATAAAGATTTGAAGAAGCTAGCAATAACTCCTGAAATTGAGACAGAAATTCTTTTTGTATCTGTTCATCTTAGACATTCTCTTGAGAATATCTATCGAAAGCAAATTTGATTTTTTTCCCATCTTGCAAATCAACTAGTCATCATTGGAATAGACAACATAGAAACAAAATCACTGCACGCTTCTAATCAAATTAGTCAGTTCTTCTAAAATATTCAGAATCCTGTATCATCTATCGCAATTCAATGAGAAGCGTTCCTCGACAGCGAGATGCAGCTCTATGGAGTGGCTATCTCGATGAACCTCTTGGCGAGTTCAGTGATCAACAAAATATACCCAAGCGAATGAGTACGGTCGTGTTCCGATAGGAAAGTAACGAGAAAAGTCAGAAGGCGGAAACAGTAGTTCGACTGAAAAATTTTCCAATTATTTCCGGTCAACTTCTTGTTCTTTCCCACTAAATATTGTGTTCTTCATTGGAAAAACATAGAATTGATACGATTTTCATCAATCCAAAGTCATAAAGCTTGCCACCAAACAAAACTCTAAAATGTCGATATTACACGCACTAATTAGATCTTATTGAAATTAAGCACTGAGTTCGCGTTCGAAATCTATGTTCTAGAGATCTGCGTGACCGGCTTTCCCGGTTGATTCTCGTAGAGATTTTAGAAATCACTAAGGCAGAAACGGGAACGATACTAAAAAATTTGTGTTGTATTATCATTAATGGTTCAATACTCAATATTATCCCGAGTTTATTTTTAAGTATATCATATTACATTGTAAAACGATTGTTATTGCGAGAAGTTAGTCTCATGTATAGGGGTAGCTTTTTTAAAATACAAACAATGAAATCATCATGGGAATTTGAACGCCTTCCGGAGACGGGAACCGGGAGAAGACTTTTTGAACGATCAGGAAAGTAGGACTGGGAAAAAACCAAATTTGTCTATAAGATTCGAATCGAGCGTCACCAATCAACAAAAACTGTACCCGCAGGGCTCTACTGTTTGCACAACACAACAGTAATTATTATCGATCGGTGAAATACTTCTCAGAGTTCACATATTGTCAAAATTACTCATGTTGGAAAAACCGGAGTAAAATCGACGGCTTACCGCGGTTTTACCGCTCAGGTTACCGACTCCCATCAACACAAATTTACCGCGGTTTACCGCCGGTATTTTTCGATTAACCGGTTCGCTGAACGTTTATAAAAAAATTGTTGCTAAAAGTCATTGATCGGGCTATTTTAGGCATCTTTTTTTTCCTATATGATGACGGTAAAAAAGGGTACAGGAAAAACTAGCGGTTAACCGCGGTATTACCGCTCCGGTTACCGGCTCCCATTTCATACGAATTTACCACTTTTCTAAAATTACCGCGGTTTACCGCAAAAATTGAAGCGGTATTCGCGACATGGGTAGTTCTTTTTTTATTCTTTTCATGTTCTAACATCTTAACTTAATCATTTTCCGTTTGTGTATACTTATGAAGACTTTCAAACATTTATATTCAAGCTCGAAAGTACACTTGTATTTAGAATAATCTATGCCATTAGATCGACAACAGCATCCTGTGAAAAACGAAAATGAACGAATGAATGAATGAAGAAATTTCAAAAGATATAAATAAATAATAGTTTTGTGAGAGCTAGAATTAGTAGCTTTATATTAATAACAATAAGTGTCAAAAGAGAAAAAATTTTTACTTTTGTATCGTTTCAATTATACCCTAGTCAACTCTTCCTATAAGAATCCGTAGGGAGTCCCTAGGGATTTCTTTGTTTTGTGGGGACTCCCGGTAGTTGTCGGGAGAGAGTGGATTAGGGTATTGCTTTTAATAACCTTTGTTGATAATTTGGCAGACTTTAATATGAATACAGCTTGTAATTGTAACAAACTTTCAAAATGTAGGGGTACATATTTTGGAAAAATTTACAATTGATTTCGATCACAACTTTCGTAATATTATTTGTGTTTGCATACGCGTTGAGTTTTTGATTGATATGAAAACTGAAACAACTAGATGGTATTCAAGTTTCACTCGAATACGAAATGCGGTGCGAAGCACACGAGCCGAATTTTCGAAAGTAGCGAGAATAAGATTTAAAAATAAATGATTCACTTTAAGATTCATTACAAACGTTTATTTTTTTTTAATTTCCGTATACGAATTTTGAATAAAAATTTCGCATTCACTATTCTTAAATCGACCATTTTGAAATT